GGTGCTTGTATTTGTATTAGCTTAATTATTGATCGGTTCAGTTTTTAGTGAGTTTAAATTTGACGGTTAGTCCGACTAACTATACATCCTGTAAACTATAATCTTGTGTTAGGTGGTTGTATACTAGTCGACTCTAAATAGGAGATGTAAGTTTAATGCTAATTGGTACTTGTCAGCAAAGTGTATATGCAATCTTGAGGTATCTGATATATATATATATATATATATATATATATATAGAGAGAGAGAGAGAGAGAGAGAGAGAGAGAGCTGAAGGTTTCCTATGAGACCAGAGGTTAGCTGTGGACTTTATGGATGGCTTGATATTGCTTTGGCAAGTATTGCTAACAGTACATATACAAATTTGGTTAGTAGAGCGACCGATTTCATTGATACTAGTTATCGTTTTGCAAAATTCCCGAAGGCCATTGTCATTGAGGGTGCTGTATTGCATATCACCATTGCCAATTATAATGAGTCATATAAGCGGGATGGGTCGAAATGGCCTGTTCATGCGGTGCATACTGATTGACGCGATCATGGACTGGAAATAATTACTATATATATATATATATATATATATATATATATATATATATATATATATATATATATATATATATATATATATATATACTTAGGTATGTTAATGATGTGAATGGTCCTGATTAGTGTCAGGTACCTGTGTGATTGCACCACGGAATTGAGCTGAACTGTTCACGTTGAAATGTTAGCACATAGGCAGTCTCATTCGTCCTCCTGAAAACCAAACTAAGATTACCCCTGCCAAAATATGCACACATATTCATCACACATCCTTTGGATATACAAGTAGATTATCTACTGTTTTCTTCAATATCTCTTTTGTTCAGGCCATGCATCCCACTCTCCAGACACTGCTCTTTTTTGGGGGGCAGAAACGCTCCACAACATACTACTTAAATGCCACTTTGTGAGTAGTATCGACTACAGTGGAATTAAAAAATGATTTCTCTGATTTTAAAAACAAAGATATTGTTTCTGAACACTTGTAGCAGTGCCTGTAGTTTCTATTGAAGACTGCGTAGTTCAATCATTGATGTTCTAATCATTAACCAACAAATCTCATAAATGTATCAGTTGGTAATCATAATGTACAAAGTGTGTTCCTTTTAAAATTTAATCTATATGTGTATGTATACATGTATATCCCTGAAAAATGAAATTAGTAAAAAGGCGTGATCAATGAAATTCAACCATGTTGAGTGTGATAACAGTCTTAAGCACTGAAGACAATAAATTTTAGATGGTCATGGAATATAACAATAATACCATTAGATCGTCTTATCGGTCACCTGAGAGACCAAAGGTGCTGGGTTTGATTCCTGTCAACAGAGTCACGACTACTCACTACCGATGACCTTCATACTATGACTCAATGGCCTTCGAGTGCTCTCAGGTTTCTAATGGGGCTGTTACATTGACTGTTTCCTGATTTCAATGAAACTTTCTATACAATAGTTTAATTGTGTATTTGATGTCCCCTTAAAGTCACAATTAAATTTGAACAATAAATGATAGTATAGTTTATTGATCATGTTAATACTTTTATTCATGAAGAATTAATGATAACTCGAGAAATTTCAATTAGTTGATAGAATGAGTTTTATTTCGATTGATTCATGACTGTAGTGTTAAGCTTCTAGAAACAATCTATCATCTTTTATGGCTCAGTTTTGTTTACGTGACAGTTTATGTACACACGTGTTCACAGGAATTGATTTAGACAAAGTTTTATTGTATTCTGTTAAGCGGAATGAAGGAATTCATAGACGTTCAACTTCGATATAAACAGGTTCGATTACGTAAGGATCGATCGTGTACCGACCAAATTGCAACATTATGGATCATTGTGGAACAATTAAATGAATGGGATTCACCAATCTACATCTGTTGGGGACGTTAGATCTCCAGAAATCACTTGATAAAGGTCCTGGTTTTACATTTTGTGTTTTAGCGCATGGGCTGATCAGTTGACCTTGAGCTTATAGTTCCCACCCGGAAAATTTCTTGACTGTTATTGGTTGGTAAGTTATTTTTGTACTCTATTTTTGCGACTCTCACAAGGACGTTTCTATCATGTATGAATAAACTCGAATATTGTGCTGGTCAACCTCATATTTTCTTGGTGCTTGTAAAATACACTTTCTATGCCATATCAATACTTCCTACTCTACTTAGTGGGATGTTGGGACGTTCGGATTAGAGTAGCCTAACATGTCACTGTATTATTTGTCTTCGCTCCCGTTTACCGAGTAAGTTGAACTCGTAACTTTTTCAAGCATATCAATTGATGAGCATATCAACATCAACTTCAGTGACTAAGAGAAAGCATCTGATAGTATGGACAGGATGACACTAACGAGGCTACTCTGGTACTATGAATTACAAGGAAAGATAGTCAACATCACACGGAATTCCTATGATGGATTAAAGAGTAAAATCGTGCACAGAGGAGAAATCAAATACCGTTCGAAGTGAAGATCGGTGTTGAGTTTGACAGACTGCGGAAGAATGGCCGTAATAAAAATTCATGATTTTGTTCACGACATCAGGATTCTCCATTTCAGCTTTGACATCCAGGTCTCCAATTAGAATCGTAAAGTCCTTTGTTAAAATTTCTTGACCAATAACTGCAGCATTGAATGACGTTCATTGTAATGATCTCAGTCTTTGCTTTCAAGGAGGCTTTGATGATCCTGTGTCAATGAGTTTCTCATCCCACCAGTGCCTTTTGAATGCTTGTTTGGACATCATCAGTATAACTCCCTCTGTATGTGAAGTATTTTCTTCTTCATGGCTGGAGTATAACAGCAGCTCTGCTGAAGCAAGTCTCTGTCGTCCAACCTGCGTCTAATGTGTTTCCCTGACTCCAATCACCTTCAGATTGTATAGTTTCATTTCTGCTGCGAATTGGATGACTCTCCTGGTCTCCTACAATGAACGAACATTCCACGTACCGAAAATAGTAGTTTCTCTGGTTCTCGATACGGGCATCGGTTTCGAGACTTCAGAAGAAACATTGACATTTCATCATGAAATGTCATAACTCTTCTGAATGAAGACCTTCCAAAACTGAGTTTTTTAGCCAGTTAGTTTTCTTCGGGATGGAGTCGCCAACCCTATGTCCCAACTCTTCTCTTACGCCAGGGCTTGGGATCACAGTAGTATCCTTAGAGGGTCTGCAGGCGGAATTACATTATCAATATTAGTCGATAAAAAAGTGTCTTAATCAAGATAACTTTCTAGTAATCAGATTATTTGCATTATGAGGTTGTGAGGCTTGTCAAGTTGATTTTTTGAAATCATGAATCGATCAGTGTTGGACTACCAATTAGAAACCTGGAAGGTCTGGATGTCCATGTCGTCCTGGTATGGGATTCATCAGCAGTGCGTATTCAGGACTCTTGAAAGTTGCAGGATTCGTACTCAGGACCGTTGGTCTTGCACGCGAATGCCTCATCTGGAGATCCATGAGCCGGTATCGAACGTTATCATCACAAACGCTGCCAACGCAAATCATATGTGCTCACTAACTTCGTGAGGAATCTTTTCAGAGTTCCGGCGCGTAGTCATGACCAGTGGAGTTCAAACCTGTTCAGGTTTACAGCAGTGCTCACTGAAGACAGTGTGTGTGAGGTTATCAGGAGGTTAGGTGATCGCACGAAAGACCAAAGGTCCTGAATACGAATCCTGCGTGTTGCAAGAGTCATGAATGTGCACTGCTGACGATTTCCTTACCAGTGCGAAAAGGCCGTCCAGTGCTTCCAGGTTTCTAATTCCGTTCTAACATCAATCGATTCATGATTTCGATAAAATTATTTACTAAAACTGTAGAATCAAAATCACAGTTGGTTAACAAGTGTGATAGTCGCTTTCAAACGTCAAACAAGAAATATGGTATGATAATGACGTTAGCGGAAAACTTGTAGCGTGAAGTTCAGTATAAATGACTTGTCACAGTTTTACAATAAACCAGTTAACTTTTTCTGTACTAGTGACTACTCTCACATCTTTTAGCCTTGTCTATTAATGGCTTACAATTTGGTTGCTCTTATATGAATGCGAATGTATACTGCTTACTTTGCTTGTCACATGTCTAGCTTATTTTTCTCTGATGATAAATATTTAATCTGGCCTCATCACATTGAGTTAGCCTACTTGACTTCTATGCTTTACTTTACTTCGCTTCGAATTTATGCTTTGTATTCTGTTATCTTTATGCGAAAATTAGTGTATGAATTGAACTCGTTTAAATTAAGCCGTAACGGACTTTCTATTACCGCCGTTGCACAAACGGCATTCGCTTAGACCGATATACACAAATTGAAGTGAAAACTTATTTCAGAGAAAATAAACTCAGTTATTCGTTCAAATAGGAATCAGATTCCAGGTTACTAAAATCTGTACGAAGTAATCATACGTGTGAGAGATAACTGCTTACTTACTAAACAAAAACGTGAGTAAGGAGTTTGAAACGTGTTAATGTCAATGAGAATTAATTCAATAAGTTCGAAATATTTGCGAAACTAATGGACATTCAATTTACAGAATATGACAAATTGGAGGGTTTTCAGGTCATTGTAGGTAGAATGAGAACTTGTACGTGTTATGTTTATTATACAAGGTGGTAGTTTGAAACACTGACTTACTAATACCTGCGCAGTGCACAAGTTATTGATTTTCTGGTCTTCTGTTTGTTCGTCATCGAAATCATCAATTTTGGGTTAGATCTATGGCTCACTACTATCTTAGTGACCGACGATATAACTCCATATTTATGAACAGTAGAGTATGCTATGAAATAAACGCTTCCTCCAATATATATATACATATATATATATATATATATATTACAGGGGTTGTGAAGATTGGTAAGTTACACATTTTTGAAACCATGAATCGATCAATGTTAGACCACCATTGGAAACCTGGAAGCACTGGGTGGCCATTTCGTCCTAGTATGGGACTCCTCAGCAGTGATCCACGACTACTGCACTCCACAGGGTTCGAACCCAAGACCTTCGGCATTGTGCGCGAACGCCCTAACCGTAAGACAACTGGGCCGGTTAGCCGGAAGCTAACCGACACAGACGTAATTCCCAACTACGATAGCAAGAACCCAAGAACCCACAGAAGCAACTCTGAATACAAACTTTGTTCAAGAGAGCGAAAACACACTGCGGCACGCATGAGACACTAAAAAAACATCCACCGAAATTACCAACAGAAGCGAATTCAAGCAAAGGAACCAATATACGGATCAACCTTCAATCAATGCTATGTAGACCGAAGGACAAAATGACAAAGGAAGAAAAACCAAATATCATCTACAAAATAAATTGCTCAAACTGTGAAAAACACTACATAGGACAAAGTGGACGACCTCTTCAGCTTCGTTTACGTGAACACCAATAAACAGTCAAACGCCACGACAACACTTCACTTCTATCAATACACATTGACAATTATGGACACACATTTGATTGGAACAATGTGGAAATACTGGGTAGGGGGGAGAACAAAGAACACTAGGGAATTTTCAGAAGCTTGGCACTCACAAGTCAATCAGCAATTAAGAAACACATTGACAATGACCCAATTTATCAACTAATCAGGAAAATCATAGGATCAAGAAACAGATCAAAAGGGGGATGCAATCAAAACAAAGGTGCAAACAACGGCAGGCTTAAGGTCAACAACAATCAATCAAGGTCGAGGTTAGCAGAACAAGCTATACAGGTCAAACGTGGAGAAATTCGAATACTTCACTCCTCGATCTGAAGTTTGTGCTAATGATGTTGTGTTCAGGAAGAAGAACAATAAAAGCTCCACAACCAAAACAACATCCAGCTCAGAGAACGAAACACAACCACCACCACCACAATCATCCATATTGAGCTACAAATCTTCTCCACCATCTCAATTTTCATTGCCTTAAGCATCTTCCATCGCTCCTTTTTTTCACTATTTCAACTTCTGTTTGTTCAATTAGATTTCCTTTTTTTCTCATACATTAAAACACAGAAAAATATATTGAATGAATCACATGAAATAGAATCATTCTACTCACTTGTAGTTTTAATCGACGTACAACATTGCTAGATGTATTATTAATTGAAAGTTTCAATGGGATTGTTTCTCCATGAAAAAATATATCTTTTGGTAATATTGCTGTAATATGTAATTGACCTGAATGAAAATGAAATGGTTGTATAATTTCTTTCGTGTAAACATTCGAATCTAATTTTGGAATAGCTAACGTGAGTCTACGTATAACCAAATTAATTGCATTACATTTTTTAGATGTATTTTGTGGTGTATTTGATGCATAAATCTATAATTTAGATTTTAGAAAAAAAAAAATTCAAAATTTTTTAAACATTACATGATTATAAGATAAATTATGGTTTTAGTAAACGGTTTATTGTTATAAATCTTTTTGTTTATAATTTTTCTACTACTTATTACAAATAAGTAGTGTAAGTTTTATTCAATCATTTAAGCGAGAAAATTCAAAAACAGACAAAAAACGTGAATTATCGGAGCAATAAGTTTAGTGGCAATAAGGAGCCATTATGCAAGCTTCAGTTGATCGAATCCGATTATCAGGTATGATATAGAATCGTACCATTGTTTGTACAGTTATGAGCTAAATCATCTTTCCATTAGGGAGATATGCTTTATTTATAGAAACAAATGGTAAGTTGTATTTAAGTTGTATTTCCCAGACTCTTAGATTTTAATAGGTAGATCGTTTAACCAATCATAACGAATGAAATATGACAGAAGCAATAAGTATGAATTAAATATATACATTTAAATATGAGTAGCAATTGCGTAGAACTGGGAGAGGAGGTTCAGGACAGAGTTGATGAGACGGAATGCTCGATAGCTGCCTTAGCCCAGTTACAGAATCAGTCACTTTAGTTAGTGAATGAATTGTGTGTATAAACCGATATCTATGTGTATTATTGTCATTGTTAATTTCTTTACTGTTCATTGGGAATTACATACTTAGCTAATTATTGTTATTAAAACTGTTTTAGTAAACTGACACCTTCAGTTACTTTGTTTTCCTTAAAATTGACATTTACAATTGTTAATCAGTAGAGCCAAGAATATACTGCATGTCTGTGGTATCGAAACGTTAATAATATCTTATCAGTTTACCAGTCAATATCATATCGTTATGACCACACTGTGAAATAATGATCATTTTTGCATGTGATGAACAGCTGAAAAGTTAGATTAATGTATAATTATATGATAGTAATATAAACTAATGACTCTTAGGTATGAGGTTTAATCACTGAAGTTAGATATTTTTAGATGTCGAACTCAGTGATCTAAACTTTAAGCGTTTGCGCTTGAGATCGAAGGTCCTGAGTCATGGATCTGCACAGCTGATGAGTCCTATACTAAGACGAAACAAGGTTTCCCGATTGTGGTCTAACACTGATTAGATTCAAACAAATGAACTTCAGGTACATAATAGTAATCAAGAATGGTAAGCATGGTCTTTAACTGGTGTATGAAATGTCGAATCTAAATTGAAGGAGTTTTGAATAAATTAGTTTCGTAGATATTTTTATATTTACCAAATCGATCTTTTAATGCCCATTAGGTCTATGGTATACAGTAATAATGATTTGTACTAATTAAAAACTATCAGTGTACAAGATTAATTATTGCCTAGTTCTGTATTATTTCCACTAAGTAAGTAAGTGCATCTGTAAGTAAGTAAGTAAGTAAGTAAGTAAGTAAGTAAGTAAGTAAGTAAGTAAGTAAGTAAGTAAGTAAGTAAGTAAGTAAGTAAGTAAGTAAGTAAGTAAGTAAGTAAGTAAGTAAGTAAGTAAGTAAGTAAGTAAGTAAGTAAGTAAGTAAGTAAGTAAGTGCATAAGTAAGTAAGTAAGTAAGTAAGTAAGTAAGTAAGTAAGTAAGTAAGTAAGTAAGTAAGTAAGTAAGTAAGTAAGTAAGTAAGTAAGTAAGTAAGTAAGTAAGTAAGTAAGTAAGTAAGTGCATAAGTAAGTAAGTAAGTAAGTAAGTAAGTGCATAAGTAAGTAAGTAAGTAAGTAAGTAAGTAAGTAAGTAAGTAAGTAAGTAAGTAAGTAAGTAAGTAAGTAAGTAAGTAAGTAAGTAAGTAAGTAAGTAAGTAAGTAAGTAAGTAAGTAAGTAAGTAAGTAAGTAAGTAAGTAAGTAAGTAAGTGCATAAGTAAGTAAGTAAGTAAGTAAGTAAGTAAGTAAGTAAGTAAGTAAGTAAGTAAGTAAGTAAGTAAGTAAGTAAGTAAGTAAGTAAGTAAGTAAGTAAGTAAGTAAGTAAGTGCATAAGTAAGTAAGTAAGTAAGTAAGTAAGTAAGTAAGTAAGTAAGTAAGTAAGTGCATAAGTAAGTAAGTAAGTAAGTAAGTAAGTAAGTAAGTAAGTAAGTAAGTAAGTAAGTGCATAAGTAAGTAAGTAAGTAAGTAAGTAAGTAAGTAAGTAAGTAAGTAAGTAAGTAAGTAAGTAAGTAAGTAAGCAAGCAAGTAAGTAAGTAAGTAAGTAAGTAAGTAAGTAAGTAAGTAAGTAAGTAAGTAAGTGCATAAGTAAGTAAGTAAGTAAGTAAGTAAGTAAGTAAGTAAGTAAGTAAGTAAGTAAGTAAGTAAGTAAGTAAGTAAGTAAGTAAGTAAGTAAGTAAGTAAGTAAGTAAGTAAGTAAGTAAGTAAGTGCATAAGTAAGTAAGTAAGTAAGTAAGTAAGTAAGTAAGTAAGTAAGTAAGTAAGTAAGTAAGTAAGTAAGTAAGTAAGTAAGTAAGTAAGTAAGTAAGTAAGTAAGTAAGTAAGTAAGTAAGTAAGTAAGTAAGTAAGTAAGTAAGTGCATAAGTAAGTAAGTAAGTAAGTAAGTAAGTAAGTAAGTAAGTAAGTAAGTAAGTAAGTAAGTAAGTAAGTAAGTAAGTAAGTAAGTAAGTAAGTAAGTAAGTAAGTAAGTAAGTAAGTAAGTAAGTAAGTAAGTAAGTAAGTAAGTAAGTAAGTGCATAAGTAAGTAAGTAAGTAAGTAAGTAAGTAAGTAAGTAAGTAAGTAAGTAAGTAAGTAAGTAAGTAAGTAAGTAAGTAAGTAAGTAAGTAAGTAAGTAAGTAAGTAAGTAAGTAAGTAAGTAAGTAAGTAAGTAAGTAAGTAAGTAAGTAAGTGCATAAGTAAGTAAGTAAGTAAGTAAGTAAGTAAGTAAGTAAGTAAGTAAGTAAGTAAGTAAGTAAGTGCATAAGTAAGTAAGTAAGCAAGTAAGCAAGTAAGTAAGTAAGTAAGTAAGTAAGTAAGCATGTAAGCAAGTAAGTAAGTAAGTAAGTAAGTAAGTAAGTAAGTAAGTAAGTAAGAAAGTAAGTAAGTAAATAAGTAAGTAAGTAAGTAAGTAAGTAGGTAGGTAGGTAAGTAAGTAAGTAAGTAAGTAAGTAAGTAAGTAAGTAAGTAAGTAAGTAAGTAAGTAAGTAAGTAAGTAAGTAAGTAAGTAAGTAAGTAAGTAAGTAAGTAAGTAAGTAAGTAAGTAAGTAAGTAAGTAAGTAAGTAAGTAAGTAAGTGCATAAGTAAGTAAGTAAGTAAGTAAGTAAGTAAGTAAGTAAGTAAGTAAGTAAGTAAGTAAGTAAGTAAGTGCATAAGTAAGTAAGTAAGCAAGTAAGCAAGTAAGTAAGTAAGTAAGTAAGTAAGTAAGCATGTAAGCAAGTAAGTAAGTAAGTAAGTAAGTAAGTAAGTAAGTAAGTAAGTAAGAAAGTAAGTAAGTAAATAAGTAAGTAAGTAAGTAAGTAAGTAGGTAGGTAGGTAAGTAAGTAAGTGCTTAAGTGCATAAGTAAGTAAGTAAGCTTAGTCCTGTATTGCTTCCATTGTATTTTATCTAATTTTTTTCATTACCAATCTTATGCATAATTAGTTGTTATGAGCACAAAATAAAATGTTCAAAAAGTATATGTGTGAAATGTTTATTTCCACTTCTTAACGAACTAATTTGAATTCCTGTTTTTAAACAATTTCTCTCCAATTGTCAACATTTTATCCAATATCATATTACAAAAATTGTTTTATTTTATTTTCTAAACGTGTTAGTAAATCAAAAAACAAGAAACTGCAATGTTTAAAACAAAATGTATTTTCACCAATAGTTTTTACATTTCAACTGGATAGAAATGTGTCTAAGGTTTTGTTCGCGATAAACTGACTATTTTAACACTGGAAATCAAATGTGTGTGTGTGAGACATTTGTACACACGATAATAACAAAACTTTTGTCAAGAAACATTCGATCGCAAGCTTTCAACACCTATTTCTATGCTAATCGCAGACAAAAATAACAACACGATTATAAGAATATTCGATTTATACTTGGATAAAAGTAATTCAGATTCGTGAATGTGACAGATCAGTTGATGAAGTAATGAAACTTCATCAGTTGAGGTGGTTAGGATATGCCTAACCACCGACTGCCGCGACGAGCTATGTTTTGCGATGTGGGAGTAGGTTGGAAGAAAGCTAGTGTTGGCCAAATCAAAACATGGCACAACTACATGAAATCACTAACAAGTGGACTGAGTCGTGTTAATAGATTTGGACTATCTGGTTGGGGTCGGCGAAATGATGGTAACCGAAAGTTAGAGACCTTGAATGATACTGATCAAAATCGTTTGCAGTGGCGCAGGTGCATTGATTCTTTGTGTTTTCTCAAATCCTAACCTTCAGAGTTTCTCATCACCTTTATCTTTTTCTTTTTAAATTTATTTCACTAGATTCTATTTATTGAATAATATCTTCGAACTCTAATCTCTCCGATTACTTTTACTGCCTCAACTACTATTGGATTTGAATCAACAATTACATCTTTGTGCTCATTCGGTATGGCAACTCGAACTATTTTATTTAAGCACAAAGTTCTACGTTGCTGCTGACTTAATGATTGATTCACTGTTCGGACTAGGTAGCTAAGTGGATAATACGATGGGGTTGGAAGCGACAGTTACCGGATTTTAGTTCCGGAGTGAATATCAACTCTGGGATTCCGGTGAATCCAGCCAAAACGTTCTAAATAGGCTGAACGTATATCCTGGATTCCATTGTTAGCTACAGTTGACCATTCTCAATTGTTTATACTCTATATTGTAAAGTGTAATAATTCCATTTCTGATAGATAATATTAGGAATCAGTTAATCAGTTACAATGTGGAATTTGGTACGTACATACATTATTTCAAGTTACCATATCACAATAACACAGATAGGTAGAATTGTCAGTTCAAACATTATACTAGTAAAGCTTTAGAAAATTCATCAAATATCCTAAAGAAATTATTTTGTAAGTCCAATTCCTATTGGTTAATATTTAAGGTCGTCTTCTTAAACTATCAAGTTCGCATACTTTTAAATGTTGCTTCCGATTGGTTAGTTTTCAAGGTCGACTTGACTGTATAAATATGCATCGTCTGTTACGTTTTATGCTCCTCTTCTTTTTCTTCTATACAAAACCTCATATTTTCTGGTTGCTTGTAGAATACATTTTCTATGCCAAAAGCAAGACATTTTGATACCGTTAACGGGGGCTTGGGACATTGGGATTAGAATAGCCTATTATGTCACTGGATCATTTATCTTCTAATCAATAAATATCGTTATTCTATAAACGTGATTATTCTTGGTTTCGATTCGTTTGGGAGTTTTCACTTGGCATTCATCCCAACAGCTACAATCTCATCAACAACCACAACAACAACAAGAAACAAACTTACTACATTGATCATGTACACTTACTTGTAGAACATATTCAATGCCACATGGATTATCATCTAATGAATTACGATTATCAGTTTGTAATGTAATCGAAGCTGGCATATCATGTGTTAATGTGAAATGAAACGGTATAGCCATATCACCAAAACGTTCAATAAGTCGTTGCTGTTAAAGGGGGAAAAATAAAAATAAAATATAATGATGTGAGTTGATTACATGGTGAAGAGTTACAGACTTTATGTATACATGAATCATTCAATTCCGTCTGGAACCACTTGAGAGCTACTGCCTGCCATAAGCTTGGATAAAGGAGGAGGGTTGCGTGTAGGGTTAACCACCCTATCCTGTAGAAAACGAACTCTTTAAAAATATGCTAACCAGAAGAAAATAATTCAAACCATTTAAACTCTGCCTTGCGAATTGGAAGGTCTTCATTTAGAATAGTTATGACATCTCATGATGATAGTTGAGTTCCTTTGTAAGTCACAAGGTCGATGCCTCTTCTGAAAACTAGAACAACCAATAATTTTGTAAAATCACCAATATTGAAAATATATTCGGGCATTAATTAATAATTTGTAATCAATCTACAGTCTAATATGATATGTGTTCTGTTCGTCACTTGGTACGCTTGAAGCTATTACGAGTTTACCCTAGTCAATAAACGCAAACGAGACAATGAACCAGCGTCCAGGTAGGCTACCTTGAATCCCAAGCTGTAAAACAGAAGGCTTTGGAAGCGTAGAAAGTATATTCTACGAACACCCAGCAATCACACAATACAATCAAGCATACAACTCTCGTTTATTTGTACATCAGAGAAACGTCCATGGGACAGTTACGAAAATAGCACACTAAAATACACAGCAGCCAAGCACAGCAATGGATTTTGCTGGTGGGCAATGAAATCTCAAGGTCAATTGATCATCCCATACTCGCAAATGTGAAATACAAAATAAGGGCATTTATCAAACGAATTCTGGGGATCTAACATCCCTAACAATATGGTACTCAAGACTTATAGATATTTTGTTAATTATCAACAAAGGGATTAAATTAAATATTTGAGCTACTGAATATATTTATCTTAAATGTCTTGACGGTGTACTTAGTATCATAGATTTTTGATTTGAGGATCAGATAGTTAAGTCAGGTCAGAACAACATTTGGAGCACAATACTACGAAATCATAAATGGTTCGTGGTTTCTTATCAATTGCTTACAACTATAAAGGTTATAATATGTACGAATAAGATATGAAATGACATGAAGCCAACGACGTTGGTGATGGAAGGTATTATAGTGACAAAGGTTAGTAACAACAAGTAAGCATATATATGAACTCCAACTGTAGCTGCATCCTTGATGTGGTGGTCACACTCGCTTATCATGATGACTCAGACGAGCTATATTGGCTGGAACACTTGTGTCCCTTTAGGTCCTACTATGGTAAGCAGGTCGGTTGGAGAACGGTAAGACTAAAAGCAGCAAATTAAGTCTGCCGGCAAAGTCGTACTGCTCTGATTGTAGAGGCGTGGGACTATAGTAAGGTGTTCAACTCAGACAGCGAGCATCTGCAGTGATGCTATTTTCTCACAAAGCAAGGAAGGCGTTAGAAAAGGTTCACCCTCAAAATGTCACACATCCCCTTACCTCACAGATTTCCGTCTCCGGAGGTAAGGCAAGTTGAAGAGCAAAAACTTCCCATAAAAAGACTATGAGTGACCGGCCTCAGGCAATTGTCTCATGGACACTTCGGTCACATGCCTAGGTTGTTAAGACCAACACTAATCCAACAACTTTTTCAAGTTCCTCAAGAAACACCCTTCTACGGTATGGGCGACTGGGAAATAACATCCATCATTATACGTGTAACAGCACAGGAGATCAAATCGAATAACTTATAAATACAGACCGATATGAATTTAACTATATATAGTGCATAAGCGATGGAAGTGGAAAGGACACACACTGCAGAAATCATCCGACTGCGTCACAAGACAAGCCTCCACTTGGAACCCTCAAAGACAAAAGAAAAGAGAAAGTCTAAGAAACACATTACGCCGAACACAAGAGAGAAATATGAGAAGGATGAGTAAATAATTGGAAAGAACTGGAAACGGAAGTCCAGGACAGAGTTGGTTTGAGCATACTGGTCGGTTGCCTATGCTCCATTAGAAGTGATAGACATGGGCAAGTCAGTCAGTTACAACGTAGAACTTCGTACGTATATACGTACATAAGTTCATGTTGCCATACCACATTAGCACAGAGAAGCAAATGTCAAATCAAATCCCATAGTAATAAAGATAGTAGAGGTATTAATGGTAATGAAGAAGACTAGGGTTTGAAGTTATTATTCAAGAAGTATAATTCAGTAAGATAAGATAAGAAAGACAAAGGTGACGAATCAAGGAGATTAGGATTTGAGTGAGCACAACGAATGGATGCACTTGCGCCATTGCAAACGATTTTGAGCCATGTCATTCAAGGTCTCTAACCATTGGCGACTTTCGTCTTGCGGACCCCAACCAGGTAGTCTGCATCTAACAACATGACTCAGTCCACTTTTCAGTGACTTCATGGATTTCTGCCATGTTTTGGTCTGGCCACCACTAGCTTTCTTCCAATACAATCCACCACCATTGCTCATCGACGCAGTCCCAAACACCTCAACTGATGAAGTCTCACTACTTCATCTATTGATCTGCCATCCTTAGCTAACACCCGTTTCCTAACGACAGAATTGCTTACTCGGTTGTCCCATGATATACGAGCAACGCTTCTAAGACATCTATGATCGAATACTAGTAACCTACAAACATCTTCTACTCTTAACGCCTATGTTTCGCATCCGTATAGTAGGAAAGAGCGAACTACTGCGCAGTACACTCGTCCTTTGGTTGACAAGCGGATATCTCGCCTACGCCATAAACGGCGTAACTTGGCAGCAAAAAGCAAGTCGAGCTTTCTGTATCCGTGCTGATATTTCGCCAGTCATCAGGCTATCAGCGCTGATGAGACTCCCCAGATAAGTGAAGTGATCAACACGCTCGAATACTTCACTTCCTATCACTAGTTCAGGTGCCAATGCAACCCAATCTTGAAGCAACATTTTGCATTTCAAGTGGGAAGAGCGAACCGCATCCCGAACATGCTCGCACTTGTTACTTATGATAGTCAGAAGACTCTTCATTTTGTCAGCGTCTTCACTAAATAAAAGAACTATGACATGGGCAAATAAGTAATATATATATATATATATATATATATATATATATATATATATATATATATATATATATATAATACATAACAGAAATTGATCATTGATAAACTGCTTCAATTAAAACAACAACTCACTTGTAATTCACTATAACTATATTCATCTTTATTCATAATATCCACTGGTGGATAGATTTGTTTAGTTTGAATAAAAAATTCTTTATAAAATGTTACACCCGACAATACATCATCCATTTGTTGTTCACCATAACGAAATGTACAACGTATACGTGCAAATAATTTACAATAATTGCTATGTTTCTCATCTATTGTAACAATGCCTTCAATTGGATCAATAGTTTGTAAATCATCAAATATATCACGTTGTATTAAATATACTACTAATTTATTATTTGGACTATTTTTTCGATAAACACTATGTTTAGTAGACATGATAAGTGGGTGTTTTTGAAAAACAATTTCTAGTTTGAGTTCACGTATATATATATATGGGTTTACAATGTAATCTGATGAATATCCTATCCCCTCACCTTCAGTTTGAATTTCATATCATTATATATATATATATATTGGCTCTTATACAAAGTGATCTATCTATATAATTATTAAGCCTTAATGAAACGAAGGCAAAAAACTTTGGGAAGAAAATGTATGTGCCTTGTTTAAATCTTTGAACTCTATGTATATCATTGATAAAAGAAATATTGAAACATTGAGCATTAAATACAACAATTGACTATTTAATCTTAATCGGATAAAGATTAATTTCAATTTTAAAAAAAAATATGAAATATGAACCAGATTATTAAGTGAAAATATTTTGAATTTTCTTTGATAATAATTTAAATGAAAATTTGGAAAAAAACTTGAATGATAAAGTTTATAGTTAGGAAAAATATTATGTATTTCCATTTAGATTTGTGTAGAAATGATGTGTTTCATATAAAATGTGAGTAGTTGAATAATATTTTGTGGTTTGGGATGTGATTCTAATTTGTAAGAAGAATTGTATGTGCTTTGAAATGTATCTTTCATTTAATTTTACGATTATTGAACGCCGTTTGTTCAATCACAGTGTTAGGATATTCATCTAATATCTTAAGAGAATTATTCTTAGTCATTTCCTATTGGTTAATACCTACTAGTCAATTTTATGATTTGCCTAGATATCATTGTCACGTGCTCCCTGATTATCAATGTCACTTCAAATGTTGTGTTCCAATTGGTTGACTTAACTTTCAATGTCACAGACTTCAGTGTTGTTTCCTGTTCTACTTAATTGTTTAAATATGCATTATTTGTAACGTTCTATGACCTGGACCCGGACCCAGATCCTTAGTCCGCGATCCTGATTCTCTTCTGGACTCGGACCTCGTACTTTCTCGATGCTTGTAGAATACCGGTTCTACTTCATATCAAGTTTTCTTATTTTTACTCAATGTGGGTGGCTGGGATAATCGGATTTGAGTAGCATGTCGCGTAGCCAGATCCTCGATCCTCGCTGTCGTTTTCCGCCTAGGTAAACTCGTCATAGGTTCAAGCATATCAAAATGACGTGTTTACGTGCAGGCATAACACACAGTAATTGAGAACGTCACTATAGTTTATTTTGGTTGAGTTTATTTCATCATTTTTATTGATATTTCATAAATTCATGGTTGTACGTACATTGAACTGCAATTCATTGAAGCTATGTAACGAAAATATTTGTAAAGTTAACTTGTTCATTTTCCACTTAAGAAACAATCAGTTGGATGGGACTCACCATTATACATCAACTTCATTGACTATGAGAAAGCATTTGATAGAGTAGACAAGATAACACTATGAAGGCTTCTTTGACACTACGGTGTACCTGACAAGATAGTTAACATCATACGGAATTCTTATGATAGGTTAAACTGCAAATCGTGCACGGAGGACACCTGACAGATTCGTTCGAAGTGAAGACCAGTGTTAAGCAATGTTGCTAACTCTCACTCTTTCTCTTTCTTCAGGTGATCGACTGGATTATGAAGAGGTTAATATCTAGAGGTGAGCATGGGATATAGTGGACAGCCAGGATGCAGATGGACGATCTGTCTCTTCTATCGCTTCTTCTTCTATCGACAATCAAGGTGGATCCGATGACGATATGAGGCTCGAATCGGCATAGCAAAGGTTGCATTTCTACATTCGAACAACATCTGGCACTCAAAGCAACTATTAATCAACACGAAAGTCACGTTTTTCAATACAAATGTCAAGACAGTTTTACTGTATAGATCGGAAATGTGGATAACTACCGAAGGCATCTTCTTGACGATACAAGTATTCCTTAACTGTTTTCTATGCAAAATACTTCAGATCCGTTGGCCAGACACCATCAGCAACAATCTACAGTGGGAGAGAACAAACCAGATTACAGTGGAGGAGGAAATCAGGAAGAAGCGTTGGAAGTGGATAGGACACACATTGCGGAATGCACCCAACTGCCTACAAGACAAACCGTCACCTAAAACCCTCAATGTCAAGGGAAAAGAGGAAGGCCAAGAAACAAATAACGCCGAGAAATAGAGAAAGATATGAGAAGGATGAACAAAAATTGGACGGAACTGGAAAGGGAAGCTCTGAACAGAGTAGGTCAGTGGTCTAAGACTCATTCGGGGTTACAGGCGTATGTAAGTAAGTAAGTATAAAATTATATGGTTCTAGTGGATACTACCAACAAGGTGGAATATAAGTAGTATGCTACGGAAGAGCAGTGTTTTGAAATCGAATTCCGTCTATCTGATCTGAGTTTACTGAAGACTGGAAGATTTTGGAATGCTTGGGACAAGCCCAATGAGTTCAACATAAAATTACACAGGCGCTACAATATATTCTTTCTTTTGGCTATGTTAAACTTAAAATGACCGAATACTTCAGAAGTTTCAGTACAACACTAACCAAACTGATTACTTTGAATTTATCGACACAACTATTTGTTTCATATATAGTTCAGACTAATATGATTTTAATTTTCGAAGAGCCAAGGTCTCCATAAAAATCATCAAAATTGGTCCTTCAACATTTCTATACAATGTTTTGAAGGCTGTCTTGGTGTCAGTCTTATGCTCTGCTGTTTCAATGATGTACTGTGCGATCGATGAACACGGTTTTCTATTTTCACCGCTAATCGGCTCATTTGACGTTAATTGATTTTGAAGCCACAAGGTGTAAGATTGACATCAAGACAGCCTTCAAAACATTGTACAGAAATGTTGAAGGACGAATTTTTCAGGTTTATGGAGGCCTTGGCTATTCGAAAATTAAAACCCCCCTTATGGGTGCAGAAACAGTTTGTCATAACCTTGAATTTACCTTGGTAATCTTTAAGTCTAGGGTAATGTGACAATTTTCCTACCCTACCTTTACAATCATCAAAACTTTTTTTCAACAGTTTCTGATTATCACTTATTGATTAATTGATTGACTGAACTGATAAACTCAATAGGTTTCCTTTTCATTTAAACAATTTTACGAGCCTAATCAACATTTAAGTATATGGTTTCTTGTTGGAACTTTGGATTGTTCGGAGATTTTTCTACCTAAAGTTATTGGGAAAATTATTAGTCATCTTCAATTGAAGATGACTTTGGTTCACATTGTGTTCGAAAAGCAAAGAATACTTGAGTGAACTATTGTTTCCAATAACATAGTCATCAGGTTCTACAGTAATAAGTTATTAATTGTTAAGTTATTTTATAAAGGCCAAAATAAGACAGGCATTCAAGAATTGTGCATTATAGTATTATGAAGACCATTGTTTTACCTTGATATCATGAATGAATCATTGTTAGACAATCATTAGAAATCCTGAAACGTTGAACGGTCGTGGTATGGAAATCATCAGTGACAGAGCACACCCATGAATCCTGCTACTCACAGAATTCGAACTGAAGACCTTCGGTTGTGCGCACGAATGCGCGTCTCTGGACCACTGAGCCCACATCTGAGGCTGTTAATGTCTAACTCTGACAAATGGAAGGATTTCGCTGCTCAGTAGTCCAGAGGTCAAGTGTCCGCGCGCATAGTCAAAGGTGCTGAGATCGAATCGTGCGAGTTGCAGGATTTGTAGATGCGCACTACTGATGAGTCCCATGCCAGGACAAAACGGCCGTCTTTCAGTGCATCGACGTTTCTAATACTTGTCTAACAATGACTAATTGATGAATAATGCATTGGACTGAGTTATATTTTACAAATAATGAATATTCGCAACTATTACGGTAATACTGACTTCAAGATTGTGTTATTTGTAAATTGTAAAGCTCATTTAATAATGGTCAGAAAAATTCGAAGGTAGTAGTCAATAGGTTGGAATCTCTATAAAAGTACTAGAAATAATGGGAATAAAACGCATAGTAGGAGAAATTCCGTCTCAGCAATGGAGATAATAATAATAATAATAATAATAATAATAACGTTGTGTAACCAGAATTTGTAGTATGAGTGATCTGGTCATAGTAATAATGGAAATTGGTAAAGGTGAATGTGTCAATTAAGAAAGAAATGGGGAGGGAAAAAAGGTTGACAGCATCAAGCTTAATTTTCTAGTGATCCTGTTGTGGACCAAAGTAACTACAGAGGCTGGTTATATTCCTTTTTGAATAGATGATTTCGGTTTTTTGGTGTTGGTCCAAATTGCTTCAACTATGCAGAAGAGTCGTAACTCAGCTCTTTTAGGTAGATTATTCGGAACTTGATATCTACGTACCAAGTTAGAAAGGATGGTAGAGTTAATCGATTGCGTTATTCCTTTTCCTGATCACAGTGGTACTTCATCACGCGCATGAAAGGATTAGGATTTATGTGTATATTTTGCTTTTCAGGAGTAGACCTTCTGCTAAGAAACACGCTTGCTGTCTTAGAGTATGTTCATGATATAGTTCTATTTGGTGAAAACGTTGACAAAATGGAATGTCTCCTGACTACCCAAATCAACAATGCAAGCATGTTCAGGATGCGGATATCCCCCTCCAAACGCGAAATGTAGCTTCAAGATTGGGTTGCATTGGCACCTGAACTAGTGATAGGGAGTGAAGTAATCGAGCGTGTCGACCACTTCATTTATCTGGGGAGACTCATCAGTGCTGATGGCCTGTTGACTGAAGAAATCTCAGCTCGGATACAGAAAGCTCGACTGGCTTTTGCAAACTTGGATCACCCATGACACAGGCGAGATATCCGTTCGCTAATGAAAGGTCGAGTGTACTGTGCCGCAGTTCTCTCCTTTCTCCTATATGGATGCAAAACATGGCCAGTGAGAGTAGAGGACATTCGTAGGTTATTAGTTTTCGAATGTAGATGCCTTTGGATGATTGCTCGTATATCCTGGGATAGCCGAGTAAGCAATGATATCGTTAGGAAACGAGTACTAGGTAAGGATGGCAAATCAATAGATGAAGTAGTGAAACTTCATCAGCTGAGGTGGTTGGGACATATGTTACAAATGCCCTACTACTGACTGCCTCGATGAGCAATGGTGGTGGAGTGTATTGGAAGAAAGCTAGGAGTGGCCAGACCAAAACATGGCAGAAATCCATGAAGTCACTGACAAGTGGACTGAGTCATGTTGGTAGATGTAGACTACCTGGTTGGGGTCCGTGAGACGAATCTCGCCAATGGTTAGAGACCTTGAACGATAAGGCTCAAAGTCGTTTGCACTATCGCAAGTACATTCATTCGTTGTGCTCTCTCAAATCCTAATCTTCTGGATTCGTCAGCACTTCTACCTTTGTCTTTCTAACATTATCTCACTGAATTATACTTCGCGAATCATATCTCCTCTTCCTAATCTTCTCCATCACTGCTAATACTTCTACTATCTCCATCACTGCGGGATTTAAAGTGACAATCGTGTCTCTGTGCCAATGCAGTATGGCAACATGAACTGATTTACTTACGTACGAAGTTCTACGTTGTGACTCACAGACTAACCTTATGACAACATGTGTAACTTTATCCACAAAAGCAGCTGAATTGGGACACACATATGAGGCTTATCATCCATAAACTATCCTTGATTCGTTGTATGTTTGGTGGTTCAGTTGACAAGATTACATGTAACTTAGCGCTTTGATATATCTTTTTAACAAGTCTTTTATGTCGATGTATTTCACATGAATTATGACTTATTATTCACCGGATATTGCAACGTTTATACTTTAATTATAATTTTATATGAGTATTTGTATCATAGTTCTCCGATCAACAAACTATTGCAAGTTCTTTATAGGCTACAGAATTATCTAAGTAGTACTGCTAAGTAGTGAACTACCAAAGCCATCATCCAGAGGATACAAGTGTTTATTAACAGTTGTCTACGCAAAATACTTCGTATTCGTTAGTCAGACACGATCATCAACAACGAACTGTGGGAGAGAACAAACCAGATTAGAGTGGAGAAGGAAATCAGGAAGAAGTGGTGGAAGTGGATAGGACACACAACGAAAAACACCTAACTGCATCTCGAGACAAGCACTCACATGGAACCCTCAAGGCAAAAGGAAAAGAGGAAGGTCAAGGAACACACTACGCCGTGAAATAGAGAAAGATATGAGAGGAATGAACAAACATTGGACAGAACTTGAGAGGGAAGCCCAGGACAGAGTTGGTTGGAGAAAACTGGTGGGCGGCCTATGCTGAATTGGGGGTAACAGGCGCAAGTAAGTAAATACTGCTAAGTAGTAGTCTGTTAAACTCTGCCCCTAAATTAAATGAAAGTTTAAATAGACATAAAGTGATAATTGTAGATAAAGGAGAGAGAAAATTAACGTAATATGGAGGAGGCCTTGGCTATTCGAAAATTAAAGCCCCCCGCTTATGTGTGCAGAAACTATTTGTCATAACCTTGAATTTACCTTGGTAATCTTTAAGCCTAGAGGAATGTGACAATTTCCTACCCTTTCTTATTATTCTTTTCATATTACGTTAATTTTCTCTCTTCTTCACATTTAGAAATTATCACCTTATGATTATTTGAACTTTGATTTAATTGACCTTTTATTCATCTTCCTGTAGTGTGCCTTGACATGTAAATATGTGTGACCAGATTGTTCGAAATGTAAGTAGCGCAAATACATCACATTCTTCAGATCAATTACGTCTTCTCATTGTTCTTAACGTTTTAGTTGATTACACTAGTAATTTCACTCGAAGACTATACGTCTTTGAAAAAGCACGTAAGACGGATTTGCTCTTAAGGCCCACACGTAGACATGTACAATTCACCTTATCATGTGGCTATCACCTATAAGAAATTAGGTCAATAGATAGAAAATACTAGATTATTTCGTCTTTTTTCGGGCAGAGTTTGGGAGGTTTGTGTTTTTACACATTGGAAATCATCAATCAATCATTGTTAGACCACCATTAGAAACCTGGAAGCACTGAAACACAAACCTCCAAAACTCTGCCTGAAAATATTGTAACAGTGCTCTCTAGTGACTAGCTTCGTGAGGAAATTCTCGGAGTTCTAGTTGAGAAGATGTGACCAATAGAGTTCAAGTCTGTTGGGTGGATGCAGTAAGTACCAAAGACAAATGGGTGATGTCTCGCAAAATCCCTAGATCAATCAGAGTTAGGCATTAACACCATTGGATGCCGGCCCAGTAGTCCAATGGTTAGGCGTTGGCGCACAGGTCCCGGGTTCGAAACCTGCGAGGTGCAGGAGTCGTGGATGCGCACTGCTGATGAATCCCATACCAGGAAGAAACGGCCGACCAGGGCTTCCAGGTTTCTACTGGTGGTCTAACAATGATTGATTGATTTCATTTAATTGACCTTTTATAAATCTTGATATAAAATGCCTTGGCAAGTAAATATGTTAGACCAGATTGTTCGAAATGTATGAAGCGCAAATACATCACCCCATATTTCAGATCAATTACGTCTTCTCACTGTTCTATGAAAATTTATAAAAGGGATTAATTGTTTTAAAACGTTAAGATTCGGTGGGAATCAGGGATTTGTTTGAAGAGGACACTTTAACGCCGTGATGAGTATTGTAAACAAATGGTTTACTCTTAATCCCTCCTGTGTACTCAAATGTTCTTATTTTCGGAACTAAGGAACTAAGCATATGAAAGTAGATCATTGTTTATGACTTAATTTTAAAATACTGATAAAAAAGTCAGGTATGAATGCGCAGTAATTTTTACCACGAGGAATGTATTTCTTTTTAATAAATAAATGAAGTCTAAAAAATTACTAAACTTGATTACATATATTGAAAATAATAATATGAAATAAAAAAATCAAATATACCGCGAACATTGTATACTACTCATTTACATTTGTTAGTAGTGTAAAAAATAATGAGAAATATATATTAGATTAAAAGAATGTGAAATGACAAAAATTTTTTGGTAAAAAAATCATTTTGAACTAAAAAGTCATTTTATAAATAAATTAATAATTTCAGCATTGAACATTCCAATTGTTTCAAAAATTTAGTAGTTGAACATTTTTTATAAAAGATAAACTAAACTAATGATATCAATAATAATGAGAGTGAAATTACTTACAAATTTTTTTTAAAAACGTGCATAATTTATGAGATAAGTGTGATTGTGTATCAAAGTAACAACAATATAAAAAGAAAGTAGAAATGTTTTTAGAAAAAAAGAAATGTACATATATAGAATCACTGGGTCTAAAAATAAAATTCATGATTATTTTAGAATGACTTGACTACTCCTCTCTCTCTCTCTATTCTTTTTCAAATGTATTTTGTTCAAGTAGTTTGAGCTGCCAAATTTTACTCATATATTTTGAGTAAATATCTACACCAAGTATTTGTTTCAATAATATCTAAAAGTAAAATAATAATTAACAGAAAAAAATTAGTGAATATTGTGCATGAATTTCAAAATGCTCGAGTTATTCTTGTCTTGAATTCGCATAGACTAAATCATCTTGACTGCTTTGATATGAGAATGTGTGTCTATCGCTTACTATAATCATTCCCGACCGTAGCTGCTACCTTGACGTGGTGGTCGGGCTTGCCTATCGTGATAACCCAGCCGAGCTATACTGGCTGGAACATATGTTCCTGAAAGTTCTACCATGCCAGGCAGGTCGATTGGAGAACGATGAGACTAAAAGTAGCTACTCAAAACCTGAGGGCGAATTCGTACTGCTGACTACTGCAGAGGGGTGTGACAGCAGTAAGGTGTTTCCCTTGGACAACCAGCATCTGCAGCGATGCTGCCTTCTCACAAGGAAGGAAGGGTTAGAAAAGGCCGACCCTAAAAATGTCACACCTCACCCTACCGCACGGATTTCCGTTTCTAGTGGTAAGGGCTGCCCACTAAGGTATTTTAAGAGCGGAGCTAATAATCAAGAAACCCTTCATAAAAAGGCCATGCGTGACCGGCCTCAAGCAGTTGTCCCTTGGGCTCTGCGGTCACGCACCCAGGTCTGTAACACCAACGTCAATCTATCTTCTTTTTCAGGTCCCTCAAGAAACAACCTTCCACGGTGTGGGCAGCCAGGAAGTGATATCCGCCCTCATACCCGTAACAGAACACTCTAATCATGAAATATCTTTCTATAGCTTAATAATTCTGACGATAAATAGTTAGTCATGTTTGAGCAAACTGAATTGGTTCACTTGCCTTCACCGCTTCGATTTGTTTTGCTCTCTCTCTCCTACAGCTCATCTTACTAACGTTTGTCTACATAAATAAATATATATCTAATTTGTATGTGGCTTCTTATTACTACTGTCGCCTAAACAGGGTTAACCAGAAGTGAATGTGAGATTTATTTCCCAAGCATATAACATCATCATTTGTCTAAATATTGCAGTCGGATCATCACAGGCCACTGAAGAACTTTTGACCGTCAGATCCGATTTTTAGTGATGAAAAATCAAGCCGATGATATCATTAGTAAGTACGATCAGAGTTAGTTCTCCGTTACTTATTTAGGTTTTTTTCATTAGGTCAGATGATTTGATCAGAACTTAGAGATAAAAAAAATATGAATGTTGACTGAGAAACAGGAATATTGGCCGATCGATAATCAAGAAAAACTAACAACAGCCTATCAGAGTGATTCGCATTTCCAACTACAAATTTACTTTTTTCTTCAGTTAAGGTTTAATTTGTACGATAATAGTAAAGGGATACGTCTTGATTGAATTACTCAAGGCTCTAATTAATTTTTAAGAGGAAAGAGTGAAGATTGTTATGTGACACTAGTCGACAGTCAGTATACAAAGTAACTAAGTTTCTAGAATTAGCGCTCAATCAGTGAGTCAGTCAGTCAATCAATCAGTTACAATGTAAAACTTCCTACATATTTACATTAGTTCAAGTTGCCAGACAACATTAGCACAGAGACGCAATTATCAATTCAGATCCTCCACAGTAGTAGAGGTATTATCAGGAATCATCTCATTCGAGATGTATACCCCAGAGGAATTGATTAAAAAGAGAGAATTCAGAGCAGTACGATTTGACAGAACACAAAGAATGCAGGCACCTGCTCCATTGTAAACGGTTTTGAGTCATGTTATATTCAAGTTGCTCTAAGCATCGATCATTACTATCAATCAACATAAGGGTAACGGTATCAATGATATTAAGAATGAAATATCGCAATACGAAAAGAATATCAAACGAAATATGAAAACCTAGAATTTTGTCGCTGATTTGCACATTATTACTTAAAGTCTTCAACCATTCATTTGTTCAAACCTCAGACTACATGTCAGTATGAATAAATATGACATATTTTTAAATTGATAGTCAGCGTCTTCCTAAATTGATACCCATCTCTTGTTTCGGTCACTCGTTTTCTTTTGAATTATATTCTTGTGGTGGTGTTTAATTCTCTGAGTTGGGGTGATGTTTTGGTTGTGGAGCTTTCATTATTCTTCTGCTGAACAACATCATCAGCACAAACTTCAGATAGAAGAAGTGAAGTATTCGAATTTCTCCACATTTGACCTGTATAGCTTGTTCTTCTAACCTCGATCTTGACTGGTTGTTGTTGACCTTAAACCTGTCGTGGTTGGCAGCTTTGCTTTGATTGTATCTCCCTTTTTTGATCTGTTTCTTGATCGGCTATGATGTTGTTCAGTAAAAGAACAATGTAAGCGCCACAACCAAAACAACTAACTCAGAGAACTAAACACCACCACTGTAGTGAACGAGAACACAGGTGGGGCAACCGAATTGTATTTAACGAGAATTACAGAGTTACTCAGTAAATCGTTAATTTGCAAATTATCAGTCCATCATCTCGAACTGGACTGTTCCTGTTGCAAAACATCAATCCATTGTCACTATTCATGCGTTTCATACAAATTCCATTGTGTTCCCCCTGTACTTCCTTTCTTGATCTTCCCCTATCTTCTGCTACCAGACATTACGTTGACACTCACGTCATATACTACTTATAAGTAGCTCACACCACCACCACAATCATCCACCTGAGCTACAAATTTTCCCCACCATCTCAATTATATTCTTCTATTCTATCAAATATTTCTTATCGAGGTCCGATTGTTATAATTAGGTAATACTACTCCTAAAAATCACCTAATCACATTGGTCAATCATTAGTCACACCTTCCGCCATAGATTAATTTATCATCACAATTACTTTTGTAAGTATCTTTCGTTGATTAGAAGTGAATACAATTCATAAATGAAGAGAAAAACATCTTACCTCTTGTGATTCCGATGATAAATCTTGATCAAGTATTTCATAAGCTTCATGTAATTTTTTCAAACCAACATTCTCTATACATTCCCTTATTTTAATATGAAAAAGAATTAGAAATAAATAACAATAATAACAGAATGTGATATTAAAGTTGTATTTAAGTAGTTTGTTCAAATGATGATTGTATATGGTTAAATTGAATTTTGATTGGTTATCATTGGGCAGGTGGATGGATTGTTTGCCAATTGACAAAGTATAATTGTGACTTACAGAGTGGATTTGTGGATGATTGATTATTATTCCCGACCTTGACGTGGTTGTGGTAGTGTGGGGCTTACCTATCGTCATGACCTAACCGAGCGATATTGGCTGAAATATACGTGTTCCTGAGAAGTTCTACCATTCCACCCACGCAGGTCGATTGGAGAACGATGAACAAATGTACATACGTACGATGTTCTACGTTGCAACTGACTGATTGACTTATGATTATCATTATTATTGGATATAATCTGATTGTATCTCATGATGAAGTAACTAGATTAATACTTACTTACTTTCTTACGCCTGTTACCCCCAATGGAGCATAGGCCGCTCACCAGTTTTCTCCAACCAACTCTGTCCTGGGCTTCTCTCTCCAGTTCTGTCCAATGTTTGTGCATTCCTCTCATATCTTTCTCTATTCCTCGGCGTAATGTGTTCCTTGGCCTTCCTCTTTTCCTTTTGTCTTGAGGGTTCCATGTGAGGGCTTGTCTCGTGACGCAGTTAGGTGCTTTCCGCAATGTGTGTCCTATCCACTTCCATCGCTTCTTCCTGATTTCCTCCTCCACTGGAACCTGATTTGTTTTCTCACACAGTTCGTTGTTGCTGATGGTGTCTGGCCAACGAATACGAAGTATTTTGCGTAGACAACTGTTAATAAGCACTTGTATCTTCTGGATGATGGCTTTCGTAGTTCGCCAAGTTTCTGCTCCATACAGTAGAACTGTTTTGACATTTGTATTGAAACTAGATTATTAGGCTTGTTCATATTACTAAATTTTCCATTAAAACATTTAACTAATATTGTACGATTTACTGTGTTCATTTTATCGACAGTCTTATTATTTACAGTCTTTCTTTAAGCACAGGCAGTTTTGGCAATGATGAGTTTGGATCTTGTTGAACTGATTGATTGATAACTGATAACCCAGGGTTAGCTAATATTGGGTTAAACTGTCATCTATATGTTACCAATGCACGTATAAACTCGTGATTTGATATGCTTGAACTATTACGAGTTTACCTTAGTTGGAAAACGAGAGCGAGGATCCGGCGACACGACAGGTTACTCTTATACGAGTGTCCCCCACCTACATAATGAATAAAAGAAGAAGATGGTGGAGAAAACTTGTAGCTCAGGTGGATTACTGTGGTGGTGTTTCGTTCTCTGAGCTGGTTGTTTTGGTTGTGAAGCTTTCATTGTTCTTCTGCTAAACAACATCATCAGCACAAACTTCAGATAGAAGAAGTGAAGCATTCGAATTTCTCCACGTTTGACCTGCAGCTTGTTCTGCTAACCTCGATCTTGATTGATTGCTGTTGACCGTAAACCTGTCGTTGTTTGCACATTTGTTTTGATTGTATCCCCCTTTTGATCTGTTTCTTGGTCCTGTGTCACCTACGCTTTTCCTGATTGGTTGACAAATCGGGTCAATATCTCTATGTTTGTTGATTGCTGATTGACCTGAGTGCTAAGCTTCCAAATAATTCTCTAGTGTTCTTTGTCCTCCTCAAACCCAGTATTTCCGCAATATTCCAATTGAATGTATGTGTGTATTGATATAAGCGAAGCGTTGTCGTCGCGTTTGACTGCTAATTGGTGTTCACGTAAATGAAGCTGAAGAGGAAGTCCACTTTGTCCTATGTGGTGTTTTTCACAGTCTGAGCAATTTATTTTGTAGATGATATTTGGTTTTTCTTCCTTTGTCATTTTGTCCTATGGTCTTCATAGGATTGACTGAAGTGATTCTGTTGGTTTGTGTGCTACACCTATTCCAAATGGTTTCAGTAGTCGTGGCGTATGCTCCGATATGTCTTTGATGTATGGTAGGATGATGCGTTTATTTGTTCCTGTGCTTGATCAAGCAGAAGACTTGACATGAAGTAGAACCTGTATTCTACAAGCATCCAGAAAGTACGAGGTCCAAGTCCAGAAGAAAATCAGGACCCCGAACTACGATCCGGGTCCGGGTCACAAAATGTTACAGATAATGCGTATTTGTACATTTGGATCGAATAGGAAACAACACTGAGGTCTGTGACATTGATAGTTAGGACGACCGATAGGAATCAGCCAATAGAATTAGACTAACAAACAATCATCTCAGGATATTGGATGAATATCTTAACAGTACAAAGTATCCGTTGGTATGTACATGTTTTATATTGGTAGTTCAAAGGTTGTCTATAGGTATTTAACAAGGTATAAGACATAACTACCAAGATAAGACTAACTTGTATAAGCTCATAATTGTCTTAACTTTAGAATCGAAAACATAAATGAAATTCTCATCGAGAATTGATCAATTCAAAATATTTATATCTTAAAATTTATGTTCATTTTCAGATTCGAGTTTAGAATACATCAATTATGGATCGACTGATAAGACTTGATCACCATAAACTTAAACATTCGGTATTTTTAAAACTGTAAGAAATTGGAATATTTCATTGAAATCATGAATCGATCAATGTTAGACGACCATTAGAAATATGGAACCACTGAACGGGGAGTTTCGTCCTAGTATAGAATTCATCAGCAGTGCACATCCACGATCTCACAGGCAGGAATTGAACATAGGACCTTTAGTCTAGTAAGCGAACACATAACGGTTAGATCATTGAGCCAGTATCCAATAGTGTTAATGTCTGACTTCAATCAATCTATGATACTGTGTCTCCTCATCCATCGATTTCGGTGGGTAACTAATGCCTCACACTCGAAAAGGGTTAAACTCTAGTTATCACAGCGTTTTTCTATAAATCCGACAATTTCCTGATGAAGCTAGTCACTAGTGAGCACATGATTTGAAATATAAATGAAGAATATATAAAAGTTTACTTATAACATCCAAGCACATAAGTTTTGAAGTCATACACCTGATGCGTCATAGATTTACTTTAAAACGACTAAATTCAAATCACTACAACTTCATCGAACAGTGTAATAAACAGGTCCATAGTTGTTCTTTACAGATATTAAGTAAACAGTTAAAAAAACTTATCTCATTGTAGCCACTATCGACAAGTATAATCAACTTGCAATTGTAAACAGTGAACAGATATTGATTCACAGAATTCATATTACAAACAAAAATATAGACTTGATTTATAAAAGATAGAATTTAGTTAGTAATGGAATATAAGAAGCGCATTTTGTCCTATTTGGGACTCGTCAGCCAATCATAACTAATCAAATTTCAGTCAAAATATCAACAACAAGATCAGCAAACAATTTCAAAATTGAATTTCATGCCATACGTGTTGAGAAATTGATTCGCTGTCTGAGAGTCTCATCGGTGCTGATGGCTTTGTGACTGACGAAATCTCAGCACGGATATAAAAGGCTCGATTGGCTTTCGCCAACTTGCGTCACTTATGGCGTAGACGAGATATCCATTCGCTCACCAAAGGAAGAGTCTACTGCGCAGTAGTTCGCTCCGTTCTACTAAATGGATGCGAAAAATGACCAGTCAGAGTAGAAGATATTCGTAGGTTACTAGTTTTCGATCATATGTACCTTCAAAGCATGGCTAATTTATCTTAGGACTATTGAGTAAGCAATGAAGTTGTTAGAAAACGGGTACTAGGTAAGGTTGGCAGATCATTAGATGAAGTAGTCACACTTCATCGGTTAGGAGTTTAGGACATGTGTTGTGTATGCACAACCATCAACTGCCTCGTCGAGTTTTATTTTATGGTGTAGGAATATGTTAGAAGAAAGCTAGGGGCGGCCAAAACAAAATATGGCACAAATCCATGAAGTGATTGACGAGTGGACTTAGCCATGTTGGTAGATGTAGACTACCTGGTTGGGGTCCGCGAGATGATAATAATCGATGGTTAGAGACCTTGAATGACATGGCTCAAAACCGTTTGCAATGGCGAAAGTGCATTCACTCATGGTGTTCTCTCAAATCCTAACCATCGGAGTTCCTGATCCCACTATTCTTCCTCTTTTTAAGTTTATTTCACTAGATTCTACTTCTTGAATAATATCTTCAAACCCTAATCATTATGATTACTGCTAATACCTTTATCACCTCAACTACTATGGGATTTGAATTGACAATTGCATCACTATGCTAATGTGATATGACAACTTAACTGATGTTCGTACGTACGAAATTCTACGTATCTGTTGAGTGAATGATTGATTGATTCGCTATCTGTACACAGTAGCTAATTGGATAAAGCGATGGCGTTTGAGAAGCGAGGGTTACAGATTTTCAGTTCCGAAGTGAATATCAATTCTGGGATGTAAGTGAAGTCAACTAAAAAGTTCTAAATAGGCTGAACGTACATTCCGAGTTCCATTGTTGGCTACAGTTGATCAATCTCATTTGCTTATACTCCAGTTTATAAAGTGCAATAATTCCATTTGTGATAGATAATGTTAGGAATCGCTCAATCAGTTACAACGTGGAACTTGATACGTACGTACAGCAGATCAAGTTGTCATACTATATGAGCACAGACAGATATAACTGTCAGTCCAAACCCTATAGTATTAGAGGATTTAGCAGTATTCAAGGTAATGAAAAAGATAAGGTACCGAAGTAAACTGAAAGAAGACAAGAGAAAGAAAAGTCGTCAATAATTAAGAAGCTTAGTATTGTAGTGAACGAGAACCCAGGTGGGGCAACCGAATTGTTTTTAACGAAAATTACAGAGTTACTCAGTAAAATTGGAAAACCATATCGTAAATCGTTAATTTGCAAAATATCAATCCATCATATCAAACTGAACTGTTCCTGTTGCAAAACATCAATCCATCATCACTATTCATGCATTTCATACAAATTCCATTGTTTTATAACTCTTCCTTTCTTGATCTTCCCCCATCTTCTGCTGCCAAACATTACGTTGACGTTCACGTCATATACTACTTATAAGTAGCTCGCACCACAGTATTTTTGCGAAAAATGGATGTATCTGCGATAGTGAGCCATGTAATTTAAAATCTGTAACCACCGAGTAAGATTGTCATGCTGGTCCTAACCCGGTAATCCAAACCTACTGACATGTGTCAGTCCTATTTTCGACGACTTCATGAACTGGTGCAGCAGTGTATTGGTGTGGCCGCTTCCAGCTTTCTTCCAATATACTCACTCCTACATCAAACAGCATTGGTCGTCTAGATCGTTGGTGGTTAAAGATCTGAGTAACACATGTCCCAGACACCTCGACTATTTTTCATCCTCACCTTGTACCCTTTCCCTAATACCAGCGTTGCTTATTTGATGATCCCAGGATATGAGAGCAACTTTTCGAAGACACTGATGATTGAATATTAGTAACCCACTAGTACCCTCTATCCTTGGTGATCATGTTTCACACTTGTATAGTAGGGCGGAGATGTTTAGTGTGCAATAAACTCGTTCTTTAGTCAGTAGACTGTTATCCCACCTACACCATAAGTGACGCAATTTGGCAAAAGCAACCGAGCATTCCCTATACATACCAAGATTTCGTCGCGCACACACACACACACACACTATAACCATATTATCTGCACATTTTAAGTGAACAACTGATTTTCCTGATCGAAGGTCAACCCCCCCCCAGCGAAGTCAGACCATCAAACTGATCATTCTAAACGCATATTATCTATGTCAAAGTTAGAAAGAAAAACATTTTTAAAGAAATATATATCACACCTTTGTAATTCTATAAAACGTTGTTTCAAATGTACAGAACGATTGATCGTTTCTTCTTCTGAAAAAAAAAGAAGAAACGAATAACGAAGTAGTTAAATCCAGAAATTCACAACAGAAGTAAACTGAATCAATCAATCATAGTAATTGAAAACAACAAACAGACAAACAAGTACAACTTTCAAAAATCTTCCAAATCAACTGTGAACAACCTGACACATGGATGGTTTGATGGACTTGGACTAATAATGAAATTGAGAAAAACGGTTTCATAAAGAACTAAATAAACATGATAACATGTACACTAGAACATAGAGCATGATGTCATTAAATTTAATTGCAATTAGACACTTTACTTACTTACTTACTTGCTTACTTACCTACTTACTTACTTACTTACTTACTTGCTTGCTTACTTACTTACTTGCTTACTTACTTACTTACTTACTTACTTACTCACTCACTTACTTACTTGCTTACTTACTTACTTACTTACTTGCTTACTTACTTACTTACTTACTTGCTTACTTACTTGCTTACTTACCTACTTACTTACTTACTTACTTACTTGCTTGCTTACTTACTTACTTACTTGCTTGCTTACTTACTTACTTGCTTACTTACTTACTTACTTACTTACTCACTCACTTACTTACTTGCTTACTTACTTACTTACTTACTTGCTTACTTACTTACTTACTTGCTTACTTACTTGCTTACTTACCTACTTACTTACTTACTTACTTACTTACTTACTTGCTTGCTTACTTACTTACTTACTTACTTGCTTACTTACTTACTTGCTTACTTACTTACTTACTCACTCACTTACTTACTTGCTTACTTACTTACTTGCTTACTTACCTACTTACTTACTTACTTACTTACTTACTTACTTGCTTACTTACTTACTTACTTGCTTATTTGCATGTTAGAAAAAACAGTAATGTAAAATATATAAAAGAAAATAAAATGAATATTAATAACTACATAATTCAAAGTCTCCAAACATCGATTACTATCATCTCGTGGACCCCAACCAGGTAGTCTACACTTACAAATATGACCGAATCCATTCGTCAGTGAATTCATGGATTTATCCCATGTTTTGTTTTGTCCACCCCTAACTTTCTTCCAACACACTCCTAGACCACAAACTACAGCTCGACGAAACAGTCGGAAGCTAGGCATACGCAACACATGTCCCAACCACCTCAACTGATGAAGTCTCACTACTTCATCTATTGACTTGCCATCCTTACCTAGCACCCATTTCCCACGATACTTGAGCAATGCTTTGAAGATACCTATGATCGAAAACAAGTAACTTACGAATATATATTCTACTCTGACTGGCCATGTTTCCCAGTCATAAAGTAGAACGGTGCGAACTACTACTGCCTACTAGACTCGTCCTTTGGTTAGCAAACGAACAATATCTCGCCTGCTTGTTGGCTGAGATTTATTAGATTTCAAATGTATTTGAGTTTCAGTTTGTATATAGTTCTTTTTTTTAGTAAAAATGAGCATTTCTGACGGAACATAAACTAGAATAAAGTAGTAGTTATCTAATGCTATGTAGTGTGTGTTCTGTAAAAATTTGGTTATATATTTCATATTCAAAATGAAATGAACAAACTCACTAGGTTCAATTGGTCCATTATCTTCAAAATTCGATTTGAAGGGAAATTTTCTATCTTTACTCATGTAATAATTTGTTGACTGACTGAATTCCATTGGCGCTTTGTTAACATTTTTACAACGTGGAATGATTACTGGTGCACCAGGATGAAAACCATCTTTTAAAGTATCTGTTAAACAATTGACAACAGCATCAATTTCTTTATCCTCACTGAAATGTGTATGCAAAAAAAGGGAAAAAAATGCCGATAAATTTGAAAAGTAATCAACACTATTGTAATAATAATGATAATAATCTCACAAAAAGCTTCGCTTACTGATATAGAATATGCCGATAACATAGTTCTATTCGGTGAAGACAAGACGCTGACAAAATGTAGAGTCTTCTGACTACCATAAGCAACAATGCAAGCATGTTCGGGATGTGGTTCCCCCCCACTCGAAATGCAAAATGTTGCTTCAAGATTGGGTTGCATCGGCACCTGAACTAGTGATAGAGAGTGAAGTAGTTGAACGTGTAGACCGCAGGGGAGTCTCATCAGTGCTGATGACCTGGTGACTGACGAAATCTCAGCACGGATACAGAAAGCTCGATTGACTTTTGCCAATTTAAGCCGTTTATAGCGTAGGCGAGATATCCGTTCGCTAACGAGAGGACTGGTGTACTGTACAGCAGTTCTCTCCGTTCTCCTATATGGATGCGAAACATGGACTTTAAGAGTAGAAGATGTTCGTAGGTTGCTAGTATTCGATCATAGATGTCTTAGAAGCATTACTCGAGTATCGTGGGACAACCGAGTAAGCAATGTTGTCATCGGGAAACGGGTACTAGATAAGGACGGCAGATCAATAGATGAAGTATTGAAACTTCATCAGTTGAGGTGGTTGGGACATGTGTTACGAATGCCCAACTACCGACTGCCGCTTGGAGCTATGTTTTGTGGTATAGGAGTAGGTTGGAAGTAATCTAGAGGTGACCAAGCCAAAACATGGCAGAAATCCATGAAGTTACTGACAGGTGGACTGAGTCGTGTTGTTAGATGTAGACTACTAGGTTGGGGCCCGCGAGATGATAGTATCCGATGGTTAGAGACCCTGAATGGCATGGGTCAAAACCGTTTGCAGTGGCGCAGGTGAATACATTCAATGTGTTCTCTCGAATCCTAATCTTCTGGATTCGTCAGCACTTCTACCTTTGTCTTTCTAACCTTATCTCACTGAATTATTATACTTCTTGAATAATATCTTCGAACCCTAGTCCTTGTTCATTACCATTAATACCTCTACTATCTTTATCACTATGGGATTTGATTTGACATTTGCTTCTCTGTGCTAACGTGGTATGGCAACATGAACTTATGTACATACGTACGAAGTTCTACGTTGCAACTGACTGACTGACTGACACAAAAAGCTGTGTACTTGCTGAATTACTTTTAGTCAAACATGCTTTAATAATAAGGAATCAATGAAAAGTCCTATCATACTAACTAATGAGGCCAGATAATGATTGCTTGGTACCGTGAGACGATTAGATTTGGAAAGTTGACATGTCCACTACAAGAACTAAAGATTCTAAGTTCAATGTCTAATGGAGTAGTCTATATATGCACAATTAAACTCACTAATTAGAGGGAATGGTTATCGTCCAGTGTTCTGTAGTATTCTGTGGCTTTCTGGCTAAAATAAATCAGCCATAATAAAAACTATATTCAAATCGGGCATTCTGGACAAGTTATCCATTGAAACTAGCCCTGAATATAATTCTTCTAGGCATTATTCCTTCTTTTATAAAAGTAAGTCACATTGATGTTCTTAATTGCGTTTGGTAAATCAATTTTCGGTTCGATTTACGTTACTCAATTCTGTTGGATCAAATGGTTTAATAGATATAAACAGAAGCGACGATATGTAGTTGATTAAGTTTCAATGTTTCAAGTATGTTAAAAAATAAACCTGAGAGATGAAATGCCATAATATTTTTTTCAAAATACTAAAATTTAATTAATTAGTAAATACTAGTCATTTGAGTAAAGTGGTGCAGTGAGCCAATCAGAAGCGGCCTAGCATGAAGGTCAGCAATGACCTAAAGGACGAATGCATACCATTGGTCCAAAACTGGTTCCATTTCTTCAAGTAAATGATAGACTAAACTGTGTACACATTATTCGTTAACTAGACTTTCGCTTGCATTCTTGCTTTCAGTCAGTCAGATGCAACGCAGAACTTCGTACGTAAGTACATCAGTTCATGTCGCCATACCACATCAGCACAGAGATGTAATCGTCAATTCAAATCCAATAGTAGAAGAGTTAGTAAGGGAATCAGGAGTAATCGGAGAGGTTAGGATTAGAAGATATTATTCAAGAAGTTATGATTCAATGAGAAAAGTTTAAAAAGTCAAAACTAGATGTGTTGAAGAATCCAGAAGATTAAGATTTGAGAGAGCACAAAGAATAAATGCATCGGCGCCATTGCAAACAGTTTTGAGCCATGTCAGTTAGCCACTTTCAGTGTTAGTGCTTATCGTATTCAGGCTTCAGACATCGCAGTTCACAACATAAAGCTTTACGTAAATGGAATCAGGGAGTATAATGTTTCTGTAAAGGGATAATTGTCATAACCCTTGTATGCGAAGTTAGTTAAATGCTGTTAAATGATTGAAACATTGAACTTGATAGTTGAATGCAAATAAGTTAGCTTTGTTTTGACTGTTTGTTTTTTGTTTAATTTAAAAATTACTGTAATTTACAAGATGTAGTTTGATAATGTTAACTTACTTTTGATGTACTAACCCGTTGTTAACATCATTTTCAATGTTTTCTTGTTCAACGGAATTCATTTGTGCATTATTATAGAGATTTTTTGTTTTAAAAATATCATTGGATTGATCAATTGATGTAATATTATGCATAAGATTTGAATTTTGAATTTCATCTGAATTTATTGGATTAGTTTGTGGTATAGAATTGGATTTAAATTCAAGACGATTCTGGAGGAAATATAAACATTTCAAAAAATATACAAATATATATATACATATATATATTTTTTGGAATTTATGAATGGTTATCGTTTTAAATAACTAACAGTAGTCGTGGATGCTGATGAGTCCTTTACCAGGACGAAACAGCCGTCCAGTGCTTCCAGGTTTCTAATGGTGGTCTAACAATGATTGATTGATTGATTGATGATTTCAAATGTGTAAAAACACAAACCTCCAAACCTCTGCCTGAAATAAAAAGTAGTCTAATTACATGTCACTTCAAAATTACTAAGATGATATTCTTCAACTATAATTGAAGTTGCTTGAATTATGGTTCTATGTGAGATTGGTTTAGTGTTAGAAAGGATTCATTTTGTTAGGGATGTTAGATCCCTAGAACTCACTTGATAAAGGTCTTAATTTTGGAATTTTATGTTATAGTGCATGAGATGATAATATGTTGACCTACGGATTGCATTTCCCATTCCGAAAATCATTGGCTGTTATTGGTTGATGTATTATTTTAGTACGCTATTTCTGTGGCTCTCTCTCAAGGACGTTTCTATGATGTATAAATAAACTCGAATTGCGTGTGCTTCTGAACTTCACATTTTCTTGATGCTTGTAGAATACACTCTCTACGGCAGATCAAGACTTCTTACTCTACTTAGTGGAGCATCGGGATGCTTGGATTAGAGTAGCCTATCGTGTCCCTGGATTATTTGTTTTCGCTTTCGTTTACCGACCAAGATGAACTCGTAATAGTTTAAGCATATCAATTGACGAACGTAACACATGCATAGTTTGATTTCTAACCAAAACATTACAGAAGCCATAAGAATCTGAACATTCAACCGCGATTTGTGAGTTCAGAAGAAATTCGTGATACTTCTTTCCTTGGCCGGAGTAAAGCAGTTGAACGTGTCGACCTCTTCACTTATCTTGGGTCTCATCAGTGCTGATGTCCCGGTGACTGACGAAATCTTAGCACGGATACACAAAACTCGATTGGATTTTGCCAACTAGCGTCATCTATAGCGTAGGCGAGATTTCCGTCTGCTAACCTAAAGATGAGTGTACTGCGCAACAGTTCGCTCCGTTCTACTTTATGGCTGTGAAACATGGCCAGTGAGAGTAGAAGATATTTGTAGGTTACTGGGTTTTCGATCATACATATCTTCGATGGATTGAGCGTTTATCTTGATACTATTGCGTAAGCGATGCTGTCGTTAGGACCCGAGTACTAGGTAAGGATGGCAGATCACTTGATGAAGTATTGAAACTTCATCAGTTGAGGTGGTTGGGATATGTGTTACGTTTGCCCGACCACCGACCGCCTCAATAAGCTATGTTTTGTGGTGGAAGGAAGTTAGGGGCGACCAAATCAAAACATTGTCCAAATCCATGAATTCACTGGATTCAGTCATGTTGGTAAATGTAGACTATCTAGCTAGGGTCCGTGACATGACGGTGATTAATGGTTAGAGACCTTGAATATTTCTGTCGAACACTCTCTAACTCAATTCAAATTTATGATCATGGTATGTTGTCACAGATCATAGTCAGATCTGCATAACACAAATAACAACCACCCAAGTTGATGAAGATTCCTCACGGTCACCTTTATTGAAATATACAATTACTTATTCTACTGCTGGATCAATGTTTTTTTTTCAAAGGCAACTAAAGTGAATGATTACTTTCAGAAGTCTTAATTTAGATTCTCTTAAAAGAATTTACGGTAAAAATGCAAACTTAGTAATAACAATGAATGTATAATAACGTGAAATTATTAAACTGAAAAAACAATTTCTACAACTAAGTGATCATGTTATATAAGTGTTCAATAGTAAAACTTCAATTTAAACAAATCAAATCAATAAATTTTGTTGAATGAAAGTTTAAATAAGTGAGAAATATATTAAATAATAACAAGAATGTAGTGATTTATTATTGCTTCGTGATTTTAATCAATGCCAATCGTCACTTGAATATCGGTTATGAATGGAAACAAAATTCAAGTAGATCTTTCAAGCTTACTTACTTACTTACTTACGCCTGTTACCCCCAATGGAGCATAGGCCGCTCACCAGTTTTCTCCAACCAACTCTCTCCTGGGCTTCCCTCTCCAGTTCTGTCCAATGTTTGTTCATTCCTCTCATATCTTTCTCTATTTTGCGGGGTAATGTATTCTTTGACCTTCCTCTTTTCCTTTTACCTTGAGGGTTCCATGTGAGGGTTTGTCTTGTGACGCAGTTAGGTGCTTTCCGCAATGTGTGTCCTATCCACGTCCATCGTTTCTTCCTGATCTCCTCCTCCACTGGGATCTGGTTAGTTTTCTCCCACAGTTCGTTGTTGCTGATGGTGTCTGACCAACGAATACGAAGTATTTTGCGTAGACAACTGTTCATAAACACTTGTATCTAATGGGTGATGGCTTTCGTAGTTGTCCAAGTTTCCGCTCCATACAGTAGAACTGTCTTGACATTTGTATTGAAAATCCTGATTTTGATTTTGGTTGAAAGTTGTTTGGAGTTCCAGATATTTTTTAACTGTAGAAATGCAGCCCTCGCTTTGCCAATCCGTGCCCTCACATTTGCATCGGATCGACCTTGATTGTCGATGATGCTGCCCAGATATGAAAAGTTGTTAACGTCCTCGAAAGCATCTCCATCGAGAGTGATTTGGTTGGTGCATGTTGTGTTGCATCGGAGAATTTTGCTTTTTCCTTTATGTATGTTGAGACCTACTGCTGCAGAGGCTGCTGCTACACTGGTCGTCTTCTCTTGCATTTGTTGTTGAGTGTGCGATAGAAGAGCCAGGTAGATCTTTCAAGCAACATGTCAAAAATTTAATCAAATCATAATTAACCTGAAGTGATAAACTACTGCTGAACAGTAGACTTGTCCTTTCATGAACAGACGAATATCTCCCCAACGTCGTTATAAATGATGCAAGTTAACAAAAGCCTATCCAGTTTTCTGCATCCGTGCTGAGATATTGTCAGACATCAGACCATTAGCACTGATTAAAGACTCTCTAGAGAAGTGAAACAGTCGACACGCTCAACTACTTCTCTCTATCAGTAGTCCCGGTGCCGATGCAAACCAATCCTGAAGTAACATTTTGTATTTCGACGGGGAAGACCGTATCCCGAATATGCTTGCATTGTTGCTTACGTTAGTCAGAAGACTGCATTTTGTCAGCGACTTCACCCATACAGAACTATGGCATCAGCATATTCTAGGTTAATAAGAGAGCTTCCTGGTAGAGGGTTTACTCCTGAAATTTCAAACGAAGATAATGTTATATCTAACAGAATGTCTATGACAATATTGAACAAGACTGGAGATGGTGGACAGCCCTGATCGACAACTATCAAGGACTCTTCGATCATCAGTTTGGTAATGATTTCACTAAACAATCTGACTATTTTACACTGCTTATTATTCTTTAAACGTTGTACAACGCTTAACTAGTGACCTCATAGCCAGAATAGGTAGTTGATTATATTCCGAAAAAATCCAAGTCAAATGTCAAGGAATTAAAGTAATAAAGACTTAAGCATACGTATGATTTGTACACAAAAATATCTTCGAGTATCCTCCAGTCATTCGCTACCGCTGAATAGCGTAGAATGCGCCAATCAGTGAGCTCTATCAGGAAAAAGCGCTGGAGGTGTGGATAGTACACACAATGAAGAAAGCACTCAACTGTATCATAAGACAGGCCCTCACTTAAAAACCTCAAGGCCAAAAAACACATTACTCCAAAAAACGAAGATACACATGAAGAGAATGAACAGCAGAGCTAGAAAGAAAGGCTTAAGACACAGCAGGTTAAAGAATGCTAGTTGGCGGCCTATGCTCCACCAGGGGTAACATGCGTAAGCAAATAAGTAAGTAAGTCTTAAATTTAATTACTACTATTACCTCCTATTAACTCAAAACACACAATCCTTTCAGAATTATCATTTCAAACACTTTTCATAATTCCCACAAAAAGTTTCTAATTGAACATTGAAACACTATTATTGAAAAATTACAAACCTTTTTAGCTTGATTCACATCAAATGATGGGCAAATTAGTGTAATCGGTTTTGAATTCAGCATACAATTTATTTGATGTGGATATGATTGTTCAATATTATGATTACTATTATTGTTGTTGTTTGAATCCGCATTCGTATCTTCTACCCGCTGAATTTGTTTATGTAATTTTGGTAACATTGATACTGGTAATATAGAGAATGAATGAGAACGATATTTCGAGATTTTATTTCGTGATTTTACATTTGTATTACTATTATTATCATTGGATGTGATAGATTTGACAATTTGATGATGAGGATTTGGTTCACCTGTGATGATGAAGAGAAGAAGAACAGAAGCAGAGAGTAAAAGAACGGAACACTGTTCAAATTTCAATTTCAGCGTGTTCAATTTTAAATGCATGATAAAATTTTTTTTAAAAAGTTGAATTTATTCAGTTAGAATAAATAACATATTGAGAGGTAGTTTACCAACCATCAAGACAATAGTTGTTGACATTGATCTGTTTAGTTTTATCAGTCAATTTCAATGTCAATGAATCGTTTGATTTTTGAGAAAAAAGACGTATTGTTTTAATGAATGATTCCTACGTTTGAAACTAGGCAAGATCAATGATACTGATGACACTTTAATGAATGTGATTCACAAACTACTGGTGTCTGATATGTCGCTGAGATATATAATGGACTGCAGTTATCAGCTCGATTAAGAAAAAGTGAGGTGTACATACTTAGATAGTAAATATCAATCTGTTAGTCTAATCAGTTTGGTCGTCAAACTAATGGTAAAGATTAATTGGATGGTGATTTTGAATTATATGGAATGAAACTATCTTTCTAGCCAGAGAACAATATCGCTTTAGGAAAGACTATTTTGTAAGAACAGAGTGGATTGCAGTCGAATTCAGTAATACTACAGTAGATGTAATTTTCATAGATTTAAATAAAGGCATCGACAAGCTCTCTCATCTGGATTGTAAATTAAGACTGAAAATGCTTGAAATCCATGATGTAACTAGAAACTAGATAAGTGATATCTTCTCAGTGATAGGAAACAACGGGTGCGGATAAACGCGGTCATAACGACATGGGAATCTGTAAAATGTAGATTTCCTCAAGGTATGATCCTTTGGCCTCTCTGTTTCCTAACTTTATATAAATGATTGACAAATTGTAAGATGACGTCAATATTTGGAGACCTATTCGATGTATTTCAAAAAGGATATTACTACAGGACGAATTAAATCCACTGGTTGAATACATGTATAGGTGATCATTAGCAGTAGATCTTAGTAAGAGTGTAGTGACGCAAATAAGTAACTGCAACGATTCATTTTCATATACAACAACAGCGTTCACGCGCACGACCGAAGGTCCCGGTTTGGAAACCTGCGAAGGGGAGAAGGAGTTGTTAATGCGCATTGCTAATGAGTCCCATACCAAGAGAAAACGGCCATTCAGTGTTACTAGGTTTCTAATGTTGGTCTACTAATGACAGATTCATGATTCAGTAATAAACAAGAATCCACATCAGTCAGTCAGTCAGTTTCAGCGTAGAACTTCGTACGTATGTACATAAGTTCATGTTGCCATACTACATTAGCACAGAAACGCAAATGTCAAATCGAATCCCATAGTGATAAAGATAGTAGAGGTATTAATGGCAATGAAGAAGACTAGGGTTTGAAGATATTATTCAAGAAGTTTCACCAGTTTATCTATTGATCTGCCATCCTTACCTATCACCCGTTTCCTAACGACAGCATTGCTTACTCGGTTGTCCCACGATACTCGATCAATGCTTCTAAAACATGTATGATCGAATACTAGCAACCTACGAACATCTTCTACTCTTAAAGTCCATGTTTCGCATCCATATAGGAGAACGGAGCGAACTGCTGTGCAGTACATCCGTCCTCTCGTTAGCGAACGGATATCTCGCCTACGCTATAAACGGCTTAAATTGGCAAAAGCCAATCGAGCTTTCTGTATCCGTGCTGAGATTTCGTCAGTCATCAGGCCATCAGTACTGATGAGACTCCCCAGATAAGTGGAGCGGTCTACACGTTTGACTACTTCAATCCTTATCACTAGTTCAGGTGCCGATGCAACCCAATCTTGAAGCAACACTTTGCGTTTCGAGTGGGGGGGAACCGCATCCCGAACATGATTGGATTGTTGCCTATGATAGTCAGAAGACTCTACATTTTGTCAGCGTCTTCACCAAATAGAACTATGTCATCGGCATATTTCTAAGTCACTAAGCATTCACATCACTTCTATAATGAACAAATACATTTTTATTCCAATAATTCTAATTTCTTACTTAGAGTGTAGAAAAATGAATACATGAAACAAATCTTCACTGTTTGTTGATATTTGAAACAACTCTATGCAAACAGTTTTGGAAAACATTTGATACATACACACACCCACACCCACACACACATACATACCTCCTTCAGTTTCAGACATTCGACGTCGTTGACGCCGACGTAATCGTGCAACAGATAAATGTCGAGTTAATGATAGTGAATGATCTTCAATTGCATTGTCATAATGAACAATATTTGGATGTGGTTGTTTTTCATGCTGTCCACATAGATTTAATGCAGCTTCATTAAGTTGATTGCATGGCTTCGATATATTGTTGATTGGAAAATCAATTTTTGAAACATCGGTTGGTAAATTTTTAATCAATTTATCGTTTTGATCAATAGACAGAGTTTGTTTTAATATTGATTGGGCATTGTTGACGCCATTTTGTTCTTTTGATCTATCAATAATTGGTTGCTAAAATAAAGTAGATATTGGAAATCATGACAATTAATAAGTGTTCTTGATTGTTATAATATTAACTACGAAACATCAAAACATAATGTACAATGAGATATTCAGTCATTAAAACAAGTAATCGTATTGCAACTTTGGATGAGTCACAAATATAGCGTACTAAAATAACACATCAACCAATGACAGTCAAGGACTTTCCGAGTGGGAAATGTAACCTCAAGGTCAAATGACCGGCCCATGCGCCAAAAACAACAAATGCAAGAGAAGACGACCAGTGTAGCAGCAGCCTCTTCAGCAGCAGTAGGTCTCAACATACATAAAGGAAAAAGCAAAATTCTCCGATGCAACACAACATGCACCAACCAAATCACTCTTGATGGAGATGCCTTGGAGGACATTAACACCTTTACATATCTTGACAGCATCATCGACGAGAAAGGTGGATCGGATGCAGATGTGAGGGCGCGGATTGGCAAAGCGAGGGCTGCATTTCTACAGTTGAAAAATATCTCGAACTCCAAACAACTTTCAACCAAAACCAAAATCATGATATTCAATACAAATGTCAAGACACTTCTACTGTGTGGAGTGGAAACATGGCGAACTACCAAAGCCATCATCCAGAAGATACAAGTGTTTATGAACAGTTGTCTACGCAAAATACTTCGGATTCGTTGGCCAGACACGATCAGCAACAACGAACTGTGGGAGAGAACAAGTCAGATTCCAGTTGAAGAGGAAATCAGGAAGAAGCGGTGGAAGTGGATAGGACACACACTACGAGAAGCATCTAACTGCGTCACGAGACAAGCCCTCTCATGGAACCCTCAAGGCAAAAGAAAAAGAGGAAGGCCAAGGAACACAATACGCCGAGAAATAGAGAAAGATATGAGAGGAATGAACAAACATTGGACAGAACTGGAAAGGGAAGCCCAGGACAGAGTTGGTTGGAGAAAACTGGTGGGAGGCCTATGCTCCATTCGGGGGTAATAGGCGTAGGTAAGTAAGCAGTAGGTTACTCGGTTAACGAGAGCAAAGACAAACGATCCAGTCATATGACAGGCTACTCTAATCCGAGAGTCTAAATGCCACACTAGGTAGAGGAAAAAGTCTTGATATGGCGTAGAAAATGTATTCTACAAGCACCTAGAAAATATATGAGGTTCATAAGGACACAAATCGAGTTTATTTATACAGCAGAGAAACGTCCTTGGAAGAGTCACAAATATAGCGTACTAAAATAACACATCAACCAATGACAGTCAAGGACTTTCCGAGTGGGAAATGTAATCTCAAGGTCAAATGACCGGCCCATGCGCGAAAGCATAAAATCCAAAATTACGACCCTCATCAAGTGAATTCTGGGGGTCGAACGTCACAGACAAACTTAATCAACCGTATCTTACCAGTATTTATAGGTTAAAAAAACATGATAATTGTAACTATTAAATGATCGATCAGTGTCAATGTTTCAATCCTACAATAAGTCAATTGTAGCTTGAATAACTCAGTACTATACCATTTCAAATTATGAAACTGCTTTGTTCGAGTTCAAATTCCGACGATGATGTCAGTGCCTTCGAGGATACCATATACTCCTGCTTAATGTCAGTTAGCAGGAAACTTAGGTACATCATTTTTTGTAATGACAATTTCAAAATAGTAAACACGAACTACTTATAGTATACATAAGAATTTATTGCACTAGCGCTTCATTCAGTTAAAGTCATTAAAAACATGACAACATAACTGATTTGAATAATTTCTGTTAGTTTACATCGAAATCATGAAAGAGTCTTGTTAGACCATCATTAGAAACCTGGCAGTACTGAAAGACGGTCGTTTCGTCCTAGCATAGGATTAAGCAACAGTGTGCATCCACGACTCCCGCTACTCACAGGATTTGAACGTAGGACCTTGAATCTTGCTTGCAAATGCCTAGCTTATGGACAACTGGGCCGGCACCCAACGGTGTTAATGTCTAACTCTTATCAATCTAGGGATTTTGAGTGACCTCAGCCATTTGTCTCCTGTAGTTACTGCCTACAGTCGACAGGCTTGAACTCCACTGGTCACGTTTTCTCACTAGAAGAACTCCGGGAATCTCCTCACTAGTCAGCACATTGTGCGATTCTTCGTTTGTGTTATGTTCCTTTGATTAACGTCAATAAGTCTGAAATACAAATCAACTGAATTCAGCCGTATAGTAATTGTTCAACACCAATTGGAATGAACAGTAGAGTCAAACGACAATCCTAGTTCGTGTATTAAGTCCGACAACAACAACAACAACAATGTTTTGATTAGTTAGCCTTCCGAATCGATTCAGCGGTACAGCTTGTACATTAATCCACGTTGCTAGTATAATACAATAAAACGGAAAGAACATAACGTATTATCATCATGGTGGATGCTACTAATGAGGTTGGCTGTGAGTAGTATGCAACAGAGATTTGCCTGGAAATTACTGAAGTTGACAGCTGAGGAAACGATCTTCAAGAAGTTATAAAGCTAGATGTATTTTAAGAAACTTGGAGGTTTGAATAGTAGTGAGGAAAGGCTGGCTATCACCTATTTGGATTGAAAATAGAAGATGGAAGATTGTAGGTAAGTATTTCATCAAATAATCTTTGTTTGTGCATTATAGTATCATGGAGATCGTTGATTATACATTGAAATCATGAACGAATCATGGCTAGATCACAATTAGAAACCTGGAAGCACTGGACTGCAGTTCAATGCCGGCTCAGTGGTCCAGAAGTTAAGCATTTACGCGCAAGACCGAAGTTCCCAGGTTCAAATCCTGAGAGTAACGGGAGACATGGATGCGCAGTCAGTCAGTCAACAAAGGCATAGAACTTCGTACGCACTTACATCAATTCAAGCTGCAATACCACATTAGCACAGAGATGTGATTGTCAATTCAAATCCCATAGTAATCGAGGTAGTAAAAGAATTAGCAGTAAATCGGAAAATTCAGGGGTCAACGATATTATTTGGGAAGTAGAATCTAGTGAAATAAACTTGTAAGAAAAAGATAAAGGTGATGAGGAATTCAGGTTAGGATTCGAGAGAACACATTGAATGTATTCACCTGCGCCACTGCAAACGGTTTTGAGCCATGCCATTCAGGGTCTCTAACCATAGGATACTATCATCTCGCGGGCCCCAACTTGGTAGTCTACGCCTACCAACACGACTCAGTCCACTTGTCAGTCACTTCATGGATTTCTGCCGTGGTCACCTTTAGATTACTTCCAACCTACTTCTATACCACAAAACATAGCTTCAAGCGGCAGTCGGTAGTTGGGCATTTGTAACACATGTCCCAACCACCTCAACTGATGAAGTTTTAATACTTCACCTATTGACCCACCATCCTCATATAACACCCGTTTCCTAACAACTGCATTGCCTACTCGGTTGTCTCAGGGTACACGAGCAATGCTTTGGAGACACATGGTCAAAAACTAGTAAATTACGAATATCTTCTACTTTTACTGACCATGTTTCGCAGTCATAAAGTGGGACGGAGCGAACTCCTCCGTCGTGGATGCGCTTGGCTGATGAGTCCCATACCAGAACGAAGAGGTCATCTAGTGCTTCCAGATTTTTAATGGTGCCCTAACAATGATCAATTCATAATTTCATTATAAAATCTGTATTTTCTACAAAACATACCTGCCCTATTTGGTTTATTTATCAACCACGGTAGGACAAGGTACTGTGAACTAAGTGAATATTGATCAGTGATATGTAACTGTAAAAATATTAATAACCATTCTCAAGTATTATTGACGTTTCCTACATACAAACTGGAAATTATAAGTTTATTTGAAAAGAACCACGCCCATGATGAACAAGGTTATTTTTTCTACTACTACCACTACTACTACTTCATTTCTTGCAGAAAACATCAAACTTTGCAACTTTATATTAGTTTACAATCGTGTTAATTGTAAATAACAATATATACATAGATTTTACCATGCAAGTCACTCAATTTGTCTATGACTCAATCATGGGCAGAGAATGATGCAAAGATGTGAATTGTTTCTGGTCGCAAATCAACCACTTAAATAATTTTATGAGAATTTAAAAGGGAGTTACATAGAGGCATAATTTTTTACCGTCTCGCTGGAAGTTTTAAAACAATCTACTGTGTAACTACTAACACGATAGATAGGAACACAAAACCTAAGATCTAATGGTTTTTAAAAGCTCAAACGTTTCATTATTCAATCATTCGGAATATTCATGAAACTGGCAAAATATAAGGTGTATGTTGCAAAAAACATAGGAAATTTTTAAAAAATAACTGATAAGTATTTCCGAAATTTGATTTTTTCGAAGTGAATATATCTGTTGGAATAGATTAGTCGGTCAGTTAGCTACAACGTAGAACTTTGTGCGTACATACATCAATTCAAGTCATCATATCACATAAGTACAGAGGTGCAATTGTCAAATCAAATCCTATAGTGCTGGAGATAGTTGAAGTTTTAGCGGCAAGTGAGAAAATCGGGGTTCGAAGATATTATTCAAGAATATGACTCTATTCAGTTTTCAGTGACTTCCCGCCTGTTGCTGCCACCTTGAAGCGTTGGTTGGGTTTGACTATTGTGATGATGCAAACAAGCTATATTGATTGTGACATACGTTCTTTTAGGTCCTACCATGCTAGGCAGGTCGTTTGGAGAACAATAAAACTAAAAGCATCATCTTAGGGTCTGAGTGCAAAGTCGTACTGCTCGCCGCAGAGGGCTGTGACAGCAGTAAGATGTTCTTCCGGGACATCCAACATCTGCAGAGACGCGGCCTGCTCATAGCGGGAGGGTGTAGAAAGGGTCGATCCTAAAATTGTCACACCTCACCTTACCCCACAGATTTCAGTCTTCAAGAGTCTTCAAGACATCCGAACAGTGGAGCTGATACTTCCAAAATGTTCCATAAAAAGGCCGTGTGTGACCGGCATTAAGCAGTTGTCCCTTGCGGACAGTAGTCACGCTTCCAGGTCGCTAAGACCAACACTAATCTAACATCCTTTTCAGACTCCTCAAGAAACACCCTTCCGTGGTTTGAGAAGCTGGCATGTAACATCCGCCCTCATACCTGTAACCACACACTAGAATAAATTGTTCACAATCAAATTCTTCTTACACCTCCATTTTTGACTAAGTTTTGGCAAAATTAATAACTACCTTTAGGATGCGTTTTTTGAATTACTTAAAATAATTCGTCGGTTAATAAATCCAGTCACATTCCAATAGTTGAATTATTTCTAATTAGATTGTATATTAAGATATACACAGACAGATATTACCAGGTAAATGAACTAACAAATGAGTAAAACACTTTTTTTCTAATTGACTTAGAAAGGATCATATCAAAGAACTACATTGATTTATTTTATCGTACTTGATTAACTGGGATCATGTAGTAGGAAAAACTAAATCATTCCAAATTATCTGTCATGTGGCTTCGCATTTTGCACAGCAAATATTCAACCACATTATTTACGTGTAGAAATATTCATCGGGGACTCCAACTAACAAATCACAGTTTGTGCATTCGAAAATTTCATTCCTACTCTACTTGTTTCTTCCTATGATCACTTACTTGTGCCTGTTACCCCAAAAATGGAGCATAGGCCGCCAACCAGTTTTCTCCAACCAACTCTGTCTGTCCTGGGCTTCCCTTTCCAGTTCTTTCCGATTTTTGTTCATTCTTCTCATGTCTTTCTCTATCCATTTCTCGGAGTAATGTGTTCCTTGACCTTCCTCTTTTCCTTTGACCTTGAGAATTCCAGCTGAGGGCTTGTCTTGTGACGCAGCTGGCTGCCTGCCTCAATGTGTATCCTATCCACTTCCACCGCTTCTTCCTGATTTCTTCACCTACTGGAATCTGGTTTGTTCTCTCCCACAGTAGGTCGTTGTTGATAGTGTCCGGCCAACGAATCCGAAGTATTTTGCGTAGACAACTGTCAACCTTGCCTCACACCGGTCTTCATCTCGAACGAGTTTGTCAGCTGACCTCCGTGCACGATTTTGCAGCTGAATCCATCATAAGAATTCCGTATGATGTTGACTATCTTCTCAGCCACGCCGTAGTGTCGAACGAGCCTCCATAGCTTTTTCCTGTCCATAATATCGAAATTTCTCTCATAGTCAATGAACTTGATTTATAATGGTGAGTTCTATTCAATTGATTGTTCCACAATCATCCGTAATGTTGCAATTTCATCGGTTTCTTTCCATAGTGAGATAATTAATCGATAGATAATTTTATTGATTTCGCACACACCTTGTTTGTTTGTTCTTCTTCTTCTTCATTCGTTTCGTGTTTCTTTTTCACTATTTTGGTATGCAAACGGGAGTCTCAAATGGCTTTGATCAATTTGCATCACGAATGGAGTAAGAGAGATATCCATTCGCAAACTAAAAGATGAGCCTAATGCGCAACAGTTCACTCTATTCTACTACATGGATGTGAGACATGATCACTAAGATTAGAAGATATTCGTAGGTTACTTAACTTCGATCACTGGTGACTAGGAAGTATTGCTCGTATATCCTGAAACTACCTAGTAAGCAATGCTGTTAGTATTTCACACTGTCTCATCAGTGCCGATGGCCTGGTGACTGACGAAATCTCAGCACGGAAACAGAAGGCTCGATTGGCTTTTGCCAACCTGCGTCACTTATGGCGTAGGCGAGATATCCGTTTGCTGACTAAAGGACGAGTGTACTGCGCAGTGGTTCGCTCCGTCTTACTTTATGGCTGTGAAACATGGCCAGTGAGAGTAGAAGAATTTCGTAGGTTACTGGTTTTCGATCATAGGTGTCTTCGAAGCATTGCTCGTATATCGTGGGACACCCGAGTGAGCAACGCTGTTATTAGGAATCGGGTGCTAGGTAAGAATGGCAGATCAATAGATGAAGTAATGAAACTTCATCAGTTGAGGTGATTGGGACATGTGTTGCGTATGCCCAACCACCGACTGCCTCGTCGAGCTTTGTTTTGTAGTGTAGGAATAGGTTGGAAGAAAGCTAGGGGCGGCCAGACCAAAACATGGCAGCAATCCATGAAGTCATTGACGAGTGGACTTAGCCATGTCGGTAATTGTCGACTACCTGGTTGTGCTCCGCGAGATGATAATAATCGATGGTTAGAGACCTTAAATGACGTGGCTCAAAATCGTTCGCAATGGCGCCAGTGCATTTATTCTTTGTGTTCTCTCAAATCCTAATCTTCTGGATTCTTCAACACCTCTACTTTTGACTTTCTAAACTTTTCTCATTAAATCATACTTTTTGAATAATATCTTCTAATCCTAACCTCTTCGATTACTTCTAATACCTTTACAACCTCTTCTACTATTGGATTTGAATTGACAATTACATCTCTGTGCTGATGTGGTATGGCGACATGAACTGATGTACTTACGTACGAAGTTCTACGTTGCAACTGACTGACTGACTGACTGTCGATGATTGTTTAGTCAGTAAAAGTGTTTGGTATAACTATGTGATGATAATAATAAGAGTTTATGTATCATCCACGATTATTTTAAAGGGATTTTATTTCAACTTTTCCGTATACTCAATTCCACAAATTTAAAGAAAACTCACTTCCAGCTAATCAGTTTCATCAGTGTCAAAAATAAACTTATAAATTATTATGCGTAAAAAAAGTAATAAAATGAAATTAACCTGTTCCATTTGATTTGTTCTTTTCTCATTAACCATTTTAATTTCATTGACTGATTGATTAACCAATAAATGGACATTGGTTTGACATTCTGTATGTTGACTGGTAATTTGTACGTCATCTTCAATGGTTGTTGAATGATTTCGAGAATTAGTTACGCTTGGATAAATTAATACACTCAGTTTAGATTGTTGTTGAAAACTAATCTCTATTTTTGTTCATACTAATTAATATACAGTAAATTCTATGAGCATAAATTTCAGTAAAATATTCAATTGGCTGAAACATTTTACTCATACAAGGTACATACTACTTAGTACTACAAGGTAGTTTAAAATAAATCACTCCAGACTACTAAATGGTGGGGCATAAAATGAATGTGTCGAAATTTATTTACTCTGTTATTGAAAATGAGAAAAATGGTAATTTCATGTGCGTAACTAATGCAGCGGGTAGATTAATCTTTGACCGAATGATTAGCGAACACTAATGACTAAGATTCATTTCCTCAACTTAAAAAAACTATGGACACGCTACTGGTCGGAAATGTAGAGTGAAGTTATTATATATATATATATATATATATATATGCAGATGTTAGTTAAGCCTATCAAGCTTCCTTCACTGCACTTACGCAGCCAGTTGGACTTGCATACAGAACATTTGTGCAATTAGTATCAGAATCGGCCAATGCACAACAAATAGTTTCATGGTGACAAGCATGAACGTAAAAATGTGGTTGCCTCGCTGAAACTACCAGTCACGATATGACGTGAATTTTCTACCGTCAATTTAAAAATCTGATAAACTCACAACACTTTTCAACATACTGAAGCATCAACTGAAAAAATCTTTGGGACAGCAGAGAATGGTTGAATTTATCAGTGAATGCTGACGAGTATTAAAACACTAATTCCTCTAAAATAAAACATATTTAGTAAGCTATTTCTAAGTGTGATGACTAGGCTAAAAGTTAACAAGGTAAGTTCCCTATATTTTGAATAATGAATGTTCAAGTAAATTTTAAGTCCTTCATGTCTATATATCTGAGGATTTCATGGATATTCAAGTTTCGATAGCGCTTTTGTCCGTAATATCTTTTAGACTGGGAATGCCAAAATATTAGTCAAACTGGAGGTAAGGAATAAGAAAGATTGAAGGTATGTTTGAATAATGGTTGGAATATCACAAAGTGAGTGATCTAAGCTTGCTAGCTGGTGCAAGAAGATGAGTTGCATGGTGCGTGTGCACGACCGAATGCTTCCAGCTGAGATGTGTCCAGTAAAACTAACGAGATTAACAAAAACGACAAAAACCTGCAGCTCTATTTACTCTGAGGGTTTATTTACGTCTATACATTTGAATTCTAATTATTTTGAGATTTATATAAATAACTGCCTGAGTCAATTTTTCAGTTACTTGAGCCATTCTGTAGTGCAATTTTTGAAGTTAGACAAACTTCTTCCTGATATTATAATGACATAATTAGTAAGTACTTTTAATGTACACTGATATCTTTAGTTTTGGAGTAATTTACGGCATCTATCAAGACTAAAACAGTTAACAACAAAAAGTGATGAATTGTCTAATTTTTAATAATTGAGATGAAACACAGAGAATCAAATCTACTTTTAAAAGTACAAACTTAAAATTCACGGAAGAATTATTTTCTAACTAATCTAGACGTAAAGTAGGTACTTTTCAGATCTAGGCAACTTCATAAACAGTTTTATTTCAGTATTTCCAGGATTAAACAGATAAATGATTGTCAGAAATAGCTACTACTACTACTACAATTAAAATCTAGTAACAATGAACATGATAATTTGTAATTATATGATATAAATAACGTTCTCATCTACTACTTTTTATTTTGAAATCAATGAACCTACCGATCTTTAGTGGCTTCCAGAAATAAAACAATATGTTTTCTTATGAATGAATTAGATAGAACACGTCTTGCCGATGGACGTTTCTCTGGTTTTAAGTGTAACATTGCACGCATCAGTTCAAGAAGTTCTGGACTGTACTGAGTAGGCATATCTGGAACCTAGAGAAGACGATAAACGCTTGTCTTTCAGCTAACCTTTCCGCTTAAAATTTTATATGACAATGCATTGAATGATTTGGCATTAAAAGCATGCCGAAGAGTGGACATTTCATACAAAACACAACCTAGAGCCCATATATCCGACTGAAAAATAAATATTTTATGAATATACTTTATGGTTATAAGGTTTGTTAGAAAACAGTTCAGGAGACATATAGTAAGGGGTTCCAATCAACGTTGTGGCCATTGAATTAGAAGACTCTAACACCCTATAGTTGAAGAGTTTCACAATTATACTCATACCTAGCTATTCCAAGGTCACCAAGTTTAACAATATTGGATCGTGTGAGAAATATGTTCCGAGTCTTCAGATCTCGATGTAGTACATTTCTTTCATGCATATACTAAAAAATACTTAATCGACAAACGACAAAGATACTTGTAAAGCAATAGCTAGCTGAACAAACCACTCAACAAGGACACGTTCAGACAACAGAACTCCATTTCTCATTCTAAGTCTTGTGTACAGGTCACCTCCTTCACAAAACCCCATAGCGATATACAAAAATCCTTGATGCTCAAAAGAAGCCTTGTATTGAACAATATTCGGATGTCTAAATTCGGAAAGCAGCCTGCATTCCAGTTTGGCTGCTTTTCTTTCTTTTTCGGAAGATTTTGTTACATCGATTTTCTTGATAACGTACTTTTACTCACTAGATAATTTTAAAAAATGCATTACTTGCTTTGTATCAATCTTATGTCTGCATAACCAGACTTCCCCATACGACCCTTTCCCAATGGTCTTTATGAACTGATACTCTGATATTGACAAACTTGAGGTATCAGACACCATTTTAAATATTTACCGAACATTGGAACACTTTGTCACTAGATTTTGAATCACTTTAACAAAATAAAATTCTCCCAACCAACCAACCAAGGTTTGCAGTTTCGTACGTTTCGATCCTGTCATTTTTTAAGTTATTTTGATAACAAATCTTCAACTGTTTTTTGTCTATGACTAACAGAATGTATTTACCTTAAGTCAAATCATTCAACAGGCAGATCTATGAATGTCGAACAGTTCAATGGGCCTCGTGAAGACCAAAACAACAAACATGTTTTAATAATTCTAATGTAAAGGAAAAGTACGTCTATCGGTGGTTCCAATATCCAATATCTTTTTCACGAGCTAGTGTAAACCAATTTGATTTCTTCGCGCTCGATTCTTGTTCTTTAGGTACGGTTCCAGGTGTTCGGTAATGTCCAATGGATGGAGGTCTAGCCACTCGACTGTCTAATTCTAGTCAGTTGGCAGTTGGTTGTGAGTTTGTATGTCTCGGGACTAGAATGAAAAGTTTTTTTCAGGGCAGTAGGGTTTCTGGATACTAGCAGCCGTCACATTACCAAACCGGAGACCAGTTAGTTGCAAAGTGGAGAGTAATAAGGGTAATAAGGATAAAATTCTAATGATAATATGAATAAAATTTCAGAACTGAGTAATATATAGATCAATTTAGTTTATTAATTGGTATTGAAGATTGTGAGAGAGGACCGAAGTGTAAGCAGGGGGAAGGAATAGGCGAGATAGATTAATTGAGTGATCTGAGGAGATGGCAATGGTAACAACTAGCAGGTCTCAAGATATGCATCAGGCACAGCTTGTCCAAGAGGGAAATGATAGTCCACATGTGAGTACGTGATTATCAAGTCTCTTCTTAAAGCAGTCCACTGAGGGGGCTGTAACTACCTCGGGTGGGAGAGCATTCCAAGTTGCGACGACTCGCAATGAGAAAAAGTGTGCACGAATCTGAGTACTTGCTCTTTGATGTGCAATCTTTCGAGGATTGCCTCGAGGGGAGTGGTGGTGATGCATTGGTAGGATGGTCACATTGGGATGGTTTGGCGTGTTTAATATGGTTAACGCCATAATCAGGTCACCTCTGATTCTCCTATAGCTCAGTGGGAATAATCTCAAGAGCTGGAGTCTGTCGTCGTAGGGTTTATTTTTCAACCCTATCACCCATTTGGTTGCTTGTCTTTGCACTCGATCCAAGAGATTAATGCCTCTTTTAAGCAGAGGGGGTGCGATGACGTTGTGAACCTCCAAGTGTGGGCGTCTTAAACAGGGTTAAAAATAATTTCGGGGTGATAGCACCAAGCTGTTTTCGCATAAAGTGAAGAGTCGCATTCGCCTTTGCTGCATCCCCTACATAGTTTGGACTGGTGTGGAGGCTTTCTGTGGTTATTAAACCAAGATCGCGCTCTGAGGAGACATTAGGGAGCGGACTTCCATTGAGAGTATAGGTCGTTTGCCTCATATGAGGCAGGAAATGCATGACGTGGCACTTCGGTTGATTGAGTTTTAAACCGTTTTTCACTGCCAATTTCTCAATAGATGTAAGGTCCTTTTGAAGCTCAGTCGAATCCTCTTCGCTTCTAATGGACCTCCAGATCTTCTCATCTTCTGCGTAGATCGATGCCGGTGAGCTAACTGAGCCTAGCAGGTCGTTAATAAATATCAGGAAGAGGAGTGGGCCTAGGATGGTCCCCTGTGAATACTCTCCAACTCGCGTGCACTCTGTTTACCTTGGTGTGAAACTTTCCATTCTCAAGGTAGTTTCTGAGCCAAGATACGAGTGGGTCAGTGAAGCCCATTTCCACAACCTTTTCGATTAGGCGTGCGTGGGGCATTGTGTCAAAGGCTTTTGCGAAGTCGAGAAATACTACGTGCACTGGTATTTTACGGTCCAAGCAGGATGTCCAACTGTCCCATGCGATGAGAAGATTAGATGCACACGACCTGACTTTCCGAAACTTGTGTTGAGCTTCATGGAGTATTTTATTCTTATCCATGTACTCCTTCATTTGTTCGTCCACTGGTCCTTCCATAACCTTTGATAATATAGATAGTAGTGCGACTGGTCTGTAACAGGCTGGGTGCTTTCTATCTCCTCCTTTGAAGATTGGGGAGATAGTAGCTTGTTTCTATTCAGCTGGGAATTGGTGTGACTCCAGTGAATGCCTGAATAGGTTGTCTAACGGTGAACAGAGGACTTCAGCACACTGTTTCAAGACTATGGGGCGGATATTGTCATAACCTGGTGACTTACCTGGGCGTAAGGATTTTAGTTTCCTTAATACTAGGTCAGGAGTGATACGGATGTTCCCTAAGCCGTCAGCTGGCATTGGATTGGCGTAATACTCTGAACATGTATGCGCCTGGTTTAATCGATCAGCAAAGGTGGTGTCGAAGATCTCGGCCATCTCTAGGTTGGTGAGGTCTTCCCGGTTTGGCCCTTTTAGAGAGCACAACCCTTGATTAGTAGGTTTTCTTTTGGACATGAACCTAAACAGATGTTTCGGGTTTGCATCTATTCTGGCAGCTAGCTTCGTCTGGAATTGTCTCCTGTCGCTTCGAACTTTGGTATTGCATCTGTTTCTCAATGCCAAGTAAGAACTGCGATCGGAATCCTTCAAGGAGACCTTCCACTTGTACCAGGCTTTCCTCTTCGCCTGCAGCAGGCGTCCAGTGCCGCGCCTAACCCAGGTTCTTCTGTTCCGTCGTTTTTGGTGTGACTGAGGTACGTTGTCTACGACAGCGTTTTGGATGATGTCTCTCACTGCTTGCCAGTGATCATCTACTGTCAGTCTACACCACTCCCGTGGCCATGGGGCATGTAGGAGCACCTCTCTCATGCGTGTGTAGTTTGCCCTACTGTAGCAAAGGTAAGGCTCGTTATCGTCCGGTGTCAGCGTTTCGTTTGTGACCATGTTAAACAGGACTGTGCCATGGTCACTACTACCTATTGGAGCGTGGATGTGAACATCCTCAACCAGGAGCTGGTCGTTCGTTAACAGATAATCTAGGTTTGACGACTTCCCTTCCTTAGTCCACCTAGTGGCGCTGCGTACGGCTCAGTCAGCCCAGAGCTTCTAATGGCTGTACCAAGTTATCTTTGGAACCAACCAGTGGGAGTTATACTCTGATTGCTGAGATTTAAAGATGGGGTATTGAAGTCTCCGGCTAAGAGTATTTGATCAAACCCTAGGAGTGGCAGTTGCAGTATTACCTCAATCAGTTTGCTTTTCTGGGCCTTAGTACCCGAAGGAGGTCTGTAGATCCCTCCAATCAAGTATTTCGTGACATTCGAGTGGAAACAACACCAACATGATTCTGTCACCTCAGTTAGTTGGGTGTCGTACAGTCGCTCTGCTTTTAAGTTGCTATATATATATATATATCGCCACTCCACCTCCAGTTTGGTGTTCGCTATCGCTTCGGAAGAGTGTCATGCCTGGTAAGCTCACTTCTGCGTCTGCAATGTCAGGGGATAGCCATGTTTCAGTTAGGATTATGATCTTCAGATCCATCTGAGAGCACATATTCCTGATTTCTAACAGCTTACCCCTCAGTCCTCTTACGTTGCTATAGAGGCACTTGGTGGTTTGTCTCAGCACCTGGTGCACATTTGCAGCAGCAGCCTTTGTCGGGTTTTCAGACAAGTTATTTAAACCGAATTGGCCAGTTCTGTGGGAACTGGCCTCTGCAGGTTTTTTGCCTGCACGGTTGGTTCACTCATATCTTGTGCCAGAGGTAGTTGACCGAGTTTAACTATCAGTTGTGTGCGTTCATTTTGGCCTCCCTGTTGTTGTCTCACAGATCTAGGTCGGCTCTCACAACATCTGATGTGGCTAGGTAGATCGTTCTTCGAACTGTACCAAGCTTGTAGTGTTTCGGTCAGGTCTTTCCGGTTCCTAAGTGTTACAGCCATCAGGCGTGGTGACTTGATGGACGTAAGGTGTGACGGGCGGGGCAACCTGGAAATGCAGATTTCCATCGTGGTGTGGAGGGATAGGCTACGTGATAGCCGTCGCCACTATTGCACATCGTGCTCGTGTGCTTCGTCCGGGCTACCGCTGGTGAGTTCGGGTATAACGTGAACTACCATAGTGGTCTGTTCTTGGGTGTCTGGTGCAGTTCTGGCTGCTGCACGTACCGACCACGGCTTGTCATGCCTGATACGAATCAGCGAGGACAATTTGACCGATAGTCTTTGGGATGAAAGGATTATGTCTTCAGCAAGTCGTGCCGAGTCAAGAGTTAC